AGATCTGGTAGATATTTTAATGTTCTGTTGGGCAGGTCTCCTGGCAAAGCATTGCAGATGAAGGAGAGGAATTGCAAACAGCATACTGGAGGTGTCTACTTTACATTCACACCGGCTAATGACTCGAGTCCCTGTGAGATAGAAAGAGATAGATAGAGAGAGAGAGAGAGAGAGATAGAGAGAGAGAGAAGCAGGAGAGAAGACAGAGTCAGAGAAAGGAGCGAGAGGAAGACAGATGATCAGTGTCAGATAATCGCGCTTACTTATGTCATACAACACTAAATCCTATGAACAGAAAATACATTTTTTACACTGGCTTGGAGCCTACAGAAAATCTGTGTTAAACTAAAATTATATTATACTTAATATTAAACACTGGAGATAAACAGCAAAGATGATGTTAAAATTATTCCGTTATTATAACTCATGTATTTGTCCTTGTAAATTTTGACCTTTAACCCTAAAAAGGCCGGGCTATTTGAGGTCTTAATACGACCCGGGGGGGGGGGGGGGGGGGGGGGGGGGGAGCATTATGGCCCGGATTGGCCCCACCCCTAAGATCTCGTCCTAGGAAGGTCCAATTAATGTGAAAATTAGCACATGGTGATAGATTGAAGGATATTGAATAAGATGGTAATGTTTATTTTATTTTATGTTTATTTAGTTTTTTATTAATATTTTTATGATAATTTCAATTTTTTGGGGGAAATATACTTACACACAAACATTTGTGAGAATTACATATTTTGATAGACATGTGATGATATTTTGTCACCCAACACCTTAACCATAGGTCCCCCCATTCCCATAACAAATTTGGTATCAAAATGTGCAGGAGACATGAGGGAAAACACTAATGAAATTTCAGCACCAAAGGTTCAGGGGTTTTGATGCAGCGGCAAAAAAAAAAATCGACAGGGGGGGGGGGGCCATTTATGCCCCCCCCCCCAGCCTTTTTAGGGTTAAGAAAGTCCAGAGGGCATTACATATTTACCTTTGCTTTCCAGTATTTGCCTGCAATTTTCTTATCTCTCATGATCATTGTGTAGTCGAATCGTGTGTAGGCTGTTCTCCTTGCCTGTTATAAAAACAAATTAATAAGGAGTGAGTTTACTCTACTTCGAAATAGATTCTAGACTCTTTCTTTAGGATCTTGAAATTCGAAACTGCAAAATCGATGACCATGAAGCATGATTCATGATTAAGGGCCAAACAAAGTTAAAACTGAAACTGAAACTGAAACTGAAAGTGAAAGTGGTGGCTAAATTGCTTTTGAGTTTTGATGACATAATTTGCACATTTCGCTGTCTACATTAGTCTAGATTCTGTTTTCAGTATCAGAATTCAATGATCGAGTCCATTTTGTACATCACATGGTCTTGATTAATGATTGTGTGTGTGTGTGTGTATTGGGTTTTTACAGACGTGTATCAATCAGATAGAGATATGATTATTTACGTCTGGGACCGACCTTTAAACGTCACCATCCGAAAGACGTGACTCAGTTTCGAACCTGCGTCCTCGGCTGAATCAGTTTGTAACTTCCACTTTTTAGCTGGATTACAGGCGCACGCCACAACGCCTAGTTTAATGATTAATGATTGCCACATTAAACCCAGTCGGTCGATTGCAGTGGACTGGAAGTGACGGTGGCTCTGCTCTGCCAGTCACCCCGGCTACGCGGCTTCACAGACGGGCTAGAGTAGGATCGTGTGTCATGTCATTCACAAACAAGGCAAGCCATTGAACTCTTTTTCACATTCATCAAATATCACATTTTCCGACCTTAACATATTACTTTACCTTTCCGCCATGCTGCAATTTCTGTACAGTTATAGTAAGGCCACCTACAGCAGTTACACATCCACAAATAATGGCCAAACCGGGGATTATTTCCCACCACATCTTGCCTAAAAATGGCAAATACTCTTAGCTGAAGTTAGCAGCTTAATTTGAGCTCGATATCTGCGGATCGAACAGATCACATAGATTTCTACGTTTGAGTCGAGTTTGAGTTTGAGTTTGAGTTTGAGTTTATTAACAACAAAATTAATAACAAGTAAAACATAATGTATCAAGCATGATTACATAAAATATAAGAATACACAAGATCGATAACATTACGCATGAATAATATAAATATTGTTTTACAAAGTATGTCGTACAAATGGAATAAAATATTATGTGTACACTTTTGTAGTAAAGGGGTACCAGAAGTTAGCACAAGTGCTATAGTCGAGTCTGGTTCCCTGTCTTTGGCAAAAATTTTAAAACTTTTTTTGTTTTGTTTACTATACTACATTATATACATGTAACATAAACTATATAAGTAAACAAAGAAATAGAATAGTCATTTAGAAATATTCCTTACTAATGTGTGTCGACTTCCGTATCAAAACCAAACATACAGTAAATAAGATTATAAGAAATATATCATTATCTAGTGATCTTTTTAGAAATTCTCTAATCTGAGATTTCTTTTTGCCATTTTAAGAAGTCTTAACTTTTGTTTAACTCAAAGTATTTAGATGTTTCGTTAACCCCTTCCGAAAAGCATTTTTAGATCGTGTTCCTAAATCGTATGAGTATATATTCCATATTTTCACGCCCATAAATGATATTGAGAATTGACCTTGTGTGGTTTTGCATTTAGGCAGATATATAGTTGTCCTTGTTCTTTGCCCCGGCCTTGTGCCATATACGTTGACTTAAAAACTTAAAAACTATGTATTGTACCGCATGAAGCTCTTTAAAAAACTACATCTCCCCCCCCCCCCCCCGGCCCCTCCGGCTTGAAATAAAAAGATATGGTGATGCTACCACTTGACCCACAACTCATTATCGTTTGAAGCTACTTAATATTGAGCCTTGGCTTGGCTCAATTTGATATGGAGCTATAGGCTCTATATGGTTAACAAAACGGTCTTAATTTCTACGCGGTTACTATTTTACTTACTTACTTACTTTAATACACGATGTTGTAGGTCTAAGCCTGTTCATCGATCCAGGATTCTTCCATTGTTACTGCGATTTGTGGAGGGAGGAGGTTGTGTTTTTTTTAACATAAGATTCAAAAAGTGTTTCGAAAATATTGTATGCAATATATATATAATATTTATATATGTGCAGTGGCGGATCCAGGGGGGAAAATGTGTAAAAACACATTAATTTTACCCTTTTTTGGAGATGGGCCCTCTCCCCTTGCGCTCAAGGGGGGGGGGGTGCGATTTTTCAAATTTCCGAGGGCCAAAACTAAAATTAGTGCACACTATTTACAGACTTTAGTGTACAATGACCGTTTTGAGAGGAGAGAGAGAGAAGTAGAGAGAGGGAGAGAGAGAGAGAGAGAGAGAGAGAGAGAGAAAGAGAGACACAGAGAGACAGAGAGAGAGAGAGAGAGAGAAAGAAAGATAGACAGAGACATACATGCTAATTAACCGAAATTTTGGAGCATCATTCGAATTGTAGATCTCTCACGTTAAAATTAAATTTTTCTGTAATCTTTCCTAAATGTTTAAATTGGCAACACAAAGTTTGCATTAGTGTTGACTGTATTTCAGTTTCAGGATATTGCCAGGACTGAGGTGTTAGACAATCTCGTCCATAGATAAATCATCGGGTCTGCAATTTTTATCCGTATAATCCCGAGGAAGAAAATGTATTTGTGGTAAGAGAAAGAGGACATTCCTTTTGCCCATCTCTTCTTAACATTATCCATCTCTTCTCAATATTATATGACAATATGATATTTTTGTTCAACGTCTAGTTAGCGCAGTAGAATTTTCGTTTTGGTTTAATAAAATGTGGAGTGGACTAAAAGATTATTATTATTGATATTTCCGAATAGCAATGTTAGAAATAAACTTTGCATTCCTTTATCACTATGCATCCTAGACCTTCATCTTAGGCGTATATAGATCTGAAATTGGGTCTCCATCTAAACAATTTAAAAGGTGACATTAGGAGGCAGAGAGAGAGACAGAGAGAGAGAAAGAGAGAGACAGAGAGAGAGAGAGAGAGCACTGCCATCAATTAGGGGGATCCACATTCTTGAAAGAATATGGGTTTTGTAATATTCGAATTGAGCTTTTCTTGAGCGGGTTCAAATACACAAACAAATTAGAATATATTCAGAAATATTATTATCATGAGACAGGACGTGCCTTGAAGAACAAAGTAAATTTCTTTCCAGAACCTAGAATATAATGTAAATACTCTTTTTAATAAAATAGAATAACAAATAAAAATGTTTATTAAGTCAAAATGTCCTCCCCTCTCCCCTCCGCCTATTTTTGCAGTACCCCCTTGCAAATTTTCCTACCCCGCATCAGATAGGTAGAGGCACAAGAAATTGTGAGTTTGAGAAATATGATGCCAAAATTTGCCGCTCGTTTGCTAATTGCTCCCTCGCTTGTACAATTAAGTATAGATAAATATGGGCGGTGAGGGGCACAATATTACCTACATATACGCCAATTAATATTTACAATTTTTGTGTCATTTTAAATTGTTATTTTTTCTCATATAGTTTAAGGTGGACCTATAGCAATTTTTTATCAAATAAAGTTGGTTTCGAGCAGGCGCGTACGCAGGGGGGGGGGGGGGGGGAGGGTGGTTGGGGTTAACCCCTCCCCCCTCAGTTTTTGTTATGTGTATGTTTTTGGGAACCCCCCTCCCCCTTTGAGTTATGATTTTTTTTTTAAATCCCAAATGGATGACCTTAAAGAGCTAACCATCCCCCCCCCCCCCAACGGAACGGAATGTTGATTGGTCAATTTTTCTAATTTCGGGACAAAAAAAAATATATATGTCCTGCTTTTGAGAGTACCTACAAGCTGATAGATTGATCGCAAAGTTATCAATTGTCTTGTGAAGTCTTTTGCCCCTACCCCTGTTTCGGTCGACATTGACTAGTATTCTAGAAATTGGCCCTATGTCATACGGCCGATATATAGCAGGACGAATTGTCCAGGATACGTCTACATTGCAACATGCACAAAATGAATTGCATGTAATGTACTGCTCTAGAAGAAACTACGTGATCGCGGGGCACTCATCGTGAGTAATGTCAACTTGATTGTCAATTAAAACCTCCGAAATGGTAAGTAGATGTACTTTCCTTATTTCTATATCATTTGTATGAAGTATTTCATGTTTTTATGAATCCTTGTTTAATATTACAACTGATAAATCTCTCTAATTTGTCCCTTTTACAGCATAAATTAAAGTCGTCGCAGAGAGAGAAAGTTCGGCAGTTCATTGCGTTCACAAACACGGGAGAGAAGACTGCCATTTACTGTTTACAACAACACGACTGGAGGCTTGATATAGCTTCAGATAATTATTTCCAGAAGCCAGATGTATACTATAGAGAATCCAAAGCAGCAGTTGACAAAAAGACTCTTGAACAACTGTACAAAAGATATAAAGGTAATTATTGACCTTGTCTTGTCTTGTCTGTAAAAAGATGTAAAATAAGAAAATCAAACAAACATGACGAGCACGACTATGAATATTGTCCAGTTCTGACATGTCGTTATTGAGCAACAATATTCAGCGCTAGTTCAGAACTATGACCATACTTTGGACATGTGACTATGGCGTGGAGATACCCTACTATCTAACATGCCAAAAATCAACTGAATCTTTATCAATTGTTAAAATATTGGTCATGATTTAAAAGTTGTTATCTTTCCTAATCCTGATTCCTACCTGTTTTGTGTTTTAATTTTTTAATATTTTTCCTAATAACAAAGATATTATAATGTACAATTTCTCACAGGTTTCACGGCAAACCGCTGCACAATACAAGTGCATACCGACGGCGAGGTGCGTGAAGTTAGTGACTGTAATCTCAGATCCTCATTGAATTCATGCAAGTAATTCACGTTATGATGATGATCATCATTACGGTCGCTAACTTCACGCAGGCACTGCTCGAAACCAACCGTCGGTATGCACTTGTATTGTACAGCCTCTTGGGTTTACTTTTGACATTAACTATGCAAAATATGTGCTGTTTACTCTTCCCTTCAAATTTTGCATTAGTCAAACTACTTTCTTTTTTTGGGGGGGGGGGTCCCAACAGATTCAGATTTTGCAGAGTTAGCTGTATTTCATAAAAGAAGAGGTGGAATAATTGTTTGAAATGGAATTGTCATTCTAAATTCTATAGGAGCATCAGTCACCCTTGTTTTAGCATAAAATTTGAGCCCTGCAAAGTGAAAACCTATAACAGGAAACCAGAAAGAGAGCCCTCAGATTGAATAATCGAACTTACTGAGTAGTGTACAACACGCCCTTAACACTGAACATAACATGGAGAGGATTAAGCTCATATCACTGACTTGAATCTTAAGCCTCGTGAAGGAAGATAAGTGAATAAATTCCTCTGGTTTAAGAGGCTTAATCCATTGATAATCCTGAACTAAACAGGGATTCTGGATTATTCTTGTCACCTGTCTTCAACCCCAAATGACCTCTAGGCAGCAGACTGCAAGAAACTGTGCAGAGAAATCATTAATTTTGACTAAGTTCACACATGAGTGGATGAAAGGTTGCCTGCTACATGTACATCTTAAAGGTTTCTAGAAGTTCAAACTACGTATATATATGTCATGGCCTACCGTAGTTGAGAAGTCACCAGTCTATGAAGCTCATGGTTTTGCATATATATTCATTGCAAGAATTAAATACCTGCCATTGCACTAATTTCCTTAAACATAACATTTCACCAACATGATTTGATGCTCTCTACCCAGGTGGGTGAAGTAATTACGCTCCCAGGAGAAAGAAGGTCAATGAAATGATGCTTGAGCACTTAATAAATAATAAAATAATATTTAATTTTTATATAGCGCTTAATACAAATGTCTCTAAGCGCTTTACAAATATACTATTACCCCAGGTAGTTTAACTAAAACCAGGGTAAATAATATGACTGCAGCAATGGCCTTCAAGGAAAGCAATATTAATCTAATCACTACTGGAACCGGGTAGCTCCTGTATTAAAGCCTATGGGAATCAAATAATTCAGTAGTTAATGGGCTAATGCTAGTGAGGCTACCCTACTGTTGCTTTCGTTGTTACCATCATTATTGGAGCTATTACCATTAGTAATACATCTGTAGTATCATTCTCTTTAGTGTGACTATTACTGTTAGTATTTGTTATTATTCTTATTTTTGATGCAGGGCTCCGCACTTACATTTTTGGAAGGAGGACGGGATTGGAACTTTTTACAGTCTGTATAATTTTCAAGATGTTGGGGGTGCGGACATAGATGTTGTGGGCCCCCATGTGTCCTTGGCGCCTGTAAGTGTTGATCCCTGTTTGATGTTATTATTATCTCATTCAATCATGTATTGATTTATTTCAGATCCACAAGAGGATGATAAGATTCTAGCGGAGGGGGTAGCTAAGTTCTGCGAGGACCTGAACCTCGATCCTGCCAGCAGACCTGTCCTCATCATCGCATGGAAATTCAAAGCAGCCACCCAGTGTGAATTCACACGTAAAGAATTCACAGATGGCATGACAGAGTTAGGGTGAGATTCAATAAATGCTATGATTTCTTTGGTGGTTGCAGAGGTTTTTCCCTGATGAGGGAGCCAGAACGGCATTAAGCCTGTGTAGAAGGTGTAACTTAGCCCCCATGGCTATGAGCGGTTGATGCGCTTCTTGATTGTATTTTATATAAAGTTTTAATTTTTTTTTTTGTGGAATCCGATTGTTTACATTTTGCTGGTCCAAATAATGTTATTTGTTATTACTTAATTTTATTAGAAGCGTTCAAATCTACTTTTCTGTCTATAATTAACTTTGATTAAAAATACAGAGCAGAAGTCAAGATAGCATTAAAGTTATTCAATTCCAAACATATAGAAAATATTCTTCAACCCTGAACTACATGTAGATACCACAAACCTAACCCTTACCTTTGCCACAAGCCAAATTGAAACCCTAACATTAGCTATATCTTTGACTAAAGAAAACCAGGAGAAAATCCTGGGTTATTGTGTATGGTTATTCTTTTTGATATAATGCCAGAATGGACTGCATGAATACAAGGTTAATACATGGTTATTTTTCCATAATGATACTTTATGAATACATGTTATATTTTGTTTTTACATCAGGTGTGACTCAATACAGACGCTGAGACTAAAAATACCTACGTTGGATAATGAACTCAGGGATACATCTAAGTTCAAAGATTTCTACCAGTTCACATTTAACTTTGCTAAGAATCCTGGCCAGAAGAGTTTAGGTAAGACTTTCATAGATATGAATATAATCATTTTTTTAAATTTCATACACTCCATAATATATGGGCATAAAGATAACATATCTAAATGAGAATGCTTAGCAAGAATTATCCACACAAGCTGTTTCTTTAGACTAAAGTCAATAACCGAGGGGCTTTGACTGTTTCAAAGATCCTGAGGGTGGATAAATATATTGATGCCTGAACATCTGATCCGGTACCTGCCTTCCATATTTCATGAAAGTCTCAACTGTTAAAGTTAGATCTAGACACTGAAAGTGGCCAGTCACAAAAGTGCTAATGTCCAGTCACCTGATGCCTGTTGGATAAAATAAATGCACGGTCGAATGTCTGCTCTCAACCAGACAAGTATTAAAGGATTGGTGACATCATTTTATGAAGTACCTATTATGAGACTCAGTTGGATTCATTTACAAACAATCAATACAGTGCGCAGTCTCCATTTTTTGAAGTGCATTCCGGCCATCAGGCACCATTTTTATACTTACACCATTTCATAAATGTTTTGTTTTATTACAGTGTATTCTCATATAAGATAAACTCTATATTCCTTTCTCTTTCTATCCATTTGTTATCTAGATCTTGAAATGGCAATTGCATATTGGAATATAGTACTTCAAGGAAGATTCAAGTTCTTAGATGAATGGACGCAATTTCTCAGAGTAAGTACAGTTAGCAACCTTGAACCTTGAAATGATAACATCTCTCAGCAGCTCCAAGAAGCTATTGAAGAGTACCTGTCGATAAAAACACTACACTTTATTGTTATATCAAAATGATGTTACAATGAGAAACATTGTTCTAATTAAAATGTGTCCTAAAGGAACCCTACAAAATGTGATCTTTTTAAAACTCCAATACATCTCAAAATCTTAGAGCTAACTAGATCAACATGTTCACTCCATGACAACTTATCATCAATTAATACTCCCAAGGAATTTAATAACATCCAATCTAATCCAATCCAAAAGATATTTGATATATTGCCTTTATCTTGCAGGTACAAAGCGCTGCACACACGTTCTACAATGTTTGGGCCACTTAAAAAACATGCACCTGCTTAACTTCATTATCATTCCTAAATATTTTGACCCTGGTGACATCAATATTACATTTGGTAAAAATCATCATATTCGATTTTGATGTATTCAGAACAAGCCTATTAAGTTTAAACCATGCTTGTACTTTAACAAGTTCAACATTCATTTCATCAACAAGAGAAGACACATTTTTTATAAGCCATTGATATAGTAGTATCATCAGCAAACAAAATGAAGTTTCATTTATCAGAAGTATAGCGAATATTGTCAATATATAACAAAAATAAAAGAGGAGCAAGAAAGGAGGCCAGGGGATACCCAATGCCAAGTAGATTGATATTCAAAAGAGATAAAATTATAACCTGCAAATTGTTTTTGATACTGTAAATAATTTTTTAGCCAGTCTAATGTGATACCTCTAATACCATACATAGATAATTTCCTTAACAGTACTTTATGGTTCAAGCAGTCGAAAGCTTTAAATAAATCTAAAAATAAGCTCACTATGATTTCCTTGTTATTAAAGGCCAGATAAATATTGTGGAGAAACTTAATTAAAGCAGATGATGATGAGTGTGAAGCTCTAAAGCCATATTGATTAAAAAATAAATATTATGCTTCTCAATAAATACGATTATATACACATCTCTCTAGAATTTTAGAAAACAAGGGAAGAACAGATATAGGGCGGTAATTGGAGAGCCACTTTTATGAATTTGAATAACCTTGGCTATTTTCATTTGGTCAGGAAAACACCCAGTTTGTATTGAATCATTAAAAATGTTGCAAAGAGGATCACAAAATGTATGTATAGTCTTTTAACAACAGGTACATGTGTATGTACCTAGTGGCAGTTTAGCTAGTGCTAAACAAGTTATTTTTTGCTTACACTATCGGTGACTTTAGCAGATTCATAGTTATGGTTGCTTTACAGGCAGTTAGTGTGTAGTCTTCCAATTTCTTAATGATAGAACTTAAGTCTGCCTGTCCATTATAGGCTTCTTTGCATCGCCTCTATAGAGGTTTCTAGTTTGGTCCAGTACCTCCTACCCCTTCCCCCCATCCTATACATATTAAACAGATGTTAACCTTTTGACTACTGAATTCCCTAACTCCCATAGGCTTAATACATGGACCACCTGGCTCCGAGAGGCAGTGGGTTAATCAGTAGTGTCCACTCAGAGAAGTAATAGACAATACATGTAGCTTATCTAGCTTAACAATTAAAACTCTGTGAAGTCATTCTTGTGCACTAAACTATGTGCTGGTATGGAAAGATGGGGCAGGGTGCAATGTCTCTAAGTATTTCCTGATCTAAATCTTTCAAGGTTTGATATAGGGAAGTACTTGGTTCATTAAGATATTTATATTTCCTAACAAAATTGACAATATTTCAAAAATAGACTTCCTGAACGAAAACAAAAAGCTACAGTGAAATATGCGTGGGCACCCACTTACCGGTATATAAAAATACCACCTTTACGATTTCCCTTGAATTATGTTTGCCACTTAAATGTATACTGAAGCACTCTTTATGTTATTATAAAGACAACTTCTCTAGTCTCCCTTGAGTGGTCTCTATGAAGAGGTTTCATCAATAGAGGCATATGTTCTGGAGTTTTGAAAATGGCTAACAGCATTTACATAGGTCATCCTTTATTATAGGGTAAACATGACAATAAGAGGGTTCTGTCCACCCTATTGGGTATTAGATGGAAAATATGTATTAGACCAGTCCTTCTCAACTGGCGGCGCGCGCGCCACTTGTGGCGCTTGGGGTCAGTCGGAGTGGCGCGCGACTGTTGCAAAAAACAAACAAAAAAACATTATATTTTAAAATTATTAAGAACTCAACAAAATCAAGAAGTCGCAGTCGAAGTTGAGCCCAAAATGTCTGCAAGAAGAAATGGGAATTTAGTGTTAATAACTAAATATAAATTTACCACCACTGACCAATATAATTGTACCCAAGAATTGTACCAATTTTTTCACATCAATATGAAATTATGACTGATATATTTTTGAACAAATATGTGTTAAAAGTGCCGTATCTAGGCTTTTGGAAAGCCCTAAATTCCAAGCTTCAGGGGGCTCTTCCCCCTGCATCCCCGCTGGGGTTTTGCAACTGGACCGCGCCCGTTGTCGGCTTGGTCGCTACGCTACCTCGCAGTACAGTCAAACATACAGATTGGCACTTCAACTACAAATTCTGTTCGTTGTGGCACTTCTAATAAACTAGTTGAGAAGGCCTGTATTAGACCATATATGCAAATAAAGTATATTACTTAATAATCCATCAGTATTAATTATTTCTTGTAATCTACTTTATAGGCTATGCTTTTCATATGATGTACTGTACATGTATGTTGTTATTGTTGTTGTTGGTTAATGGCAATTGTCCATCACTATAATGCCTATTGTCATATGTTGCAACAACATGTTTTATTTATAATTCTACACCAAAATATAGAAAATAGAGATGTGCAATTTTAGAATTTTGAGTAAGAAAACACAAAGCAGATTATGAGCGTTTCATTGAAGTTTGTTGATTGATGTTTGTTTTTAAATAGGAGCATCACAAAAAGTCAATACCTAGGGATACGTGGAACCTCCTGCTTGATTTCAGTAACATGATTGCTGATGACATGAGCAACTACGATGAAGAAGGTAAGTTTCAGGCAATTTCGGGGAAAAAAGGACAATATATGAAACATGAAACATTTAAAGTCCACTAATTTATGAATGATTTAATAATCGGGAAGAAGAAGGGCCCTAGCCTTTTGTTGCAAGCGGGCTGTTCTTCCTTTGTGTGAAAGAAGAATACATATATCTACTTCCTAAATAGTCTTTCTGATTGAACAGAACCTTTTACAGACAAAACGTTATCAAATGTATTTCTTAATAGTTAATACTGTAAATTAAGATACTGTTTTGCTTCAGTTTTGTCCTCTAATGTATACAGTTAAAGTCACATAGAAGTCAGTTCTCATGGGGAATTCGACACCGTTCGGGTGTCAATCACCAGGGTTAGCCTCGAGTTTTATGACCATTAGACCTTATGTAATGCTTTGCTTTTCCTCACCGAGTCACTCTCGAGTATTCTCCGAGAGATTAGGGGGGAATTTTTGACTGGCCAACGGGTTTTGCTGTGTGCAGATTTGTACTCCCATTAATGGTATTTCCACCAAGTCTGGTGTCAGCGAATTATGGCCTTCTGCACATGGAAACTGACTACCCACTCCCTTTAATCAAAGACTTAATTATTTCACTCTCCCCCAGATGAACGATCACATTTTTCAGAACCACATAATACATGCACATATGTAAATAACTGTTGAAATACAGAATTGAGAAATGGATTAATAACACCAATCAACTCTTAGAAGTTTGGGATAGAAGGCCTTATTCAAGTATAGTTATTATTGGTGTTCTATCACAGATACTTGTTGAAATTATTATTTAAATAATTTTTGTTGTTGCCCCCAATTATGATTGTTTTACCTCTTCATTATTTTGTAGGTGCTTGGCCAGTTCTAATAGATGCATTTGTAGAGCATGTTAAGCCGTCAATACCCTGTAAAAGTACGGTAGTGTGACAGCATGAAACATCTCTCCTCCTTCCTGCCGCCAGCCAGCCAATCAGTTCCTCAACAGTTACTTTCACGCTTGAATTCCACGCCGAAGGATGAACGATGACGCCTTGCACGGGACGAGAGACGTAGAAAACACCTGGAAAGATTTGTGTGAAGTCGTCCGCGGAAAGGCATCGTGAATACTATGTGTGGGGTTGCTGCATAGCCTCTATGGTTTTCTACAGAATATGTGTATTATGGAGAGCAAGTATGCCATGCTTTATACAGTGTTTGAACTTTTCTCGTGTGAAAGCAAGCTGCATGATGTTGAGACTAGAGAGAGGAGTAAATCATGTTTATATTCAGTATTGGGAGAGTTGTTGGTGTGCCACTATTTAACTGTTAAAGGACTAACTTTAAGGATGTGTCTGTTCTTGCTACACAAAACATCCTTTTCATGTTGAGCATGCACCAAGGTCGCGGTCATTGTTTTTCAATATTTTGTTCCTTCATTGCGGCCCGTGGTTTTAAAGGAAAGGATGATTTTTATTTATCTGATTTTTGCATCCAAATGTATCTGTACTATTCTTTGTAAGTTCAGCCATCTTTCCAGTGCGGATGAGCATTTGCATTGATGATTTAATGGCCGGAGCCGAATAGTTTTGATGAACTCAGGCCCTGTCTTTAATACAAAGAGATGCGACCGATCCGGATTGATCACAAGTCCTCCAATCAATCTCAAATGTACAAACTTCAATCTCTTGAGTACAGAGTTGTAATTGTTATCAAGTTGCAATCAATTTGAATTAATCACTCCTCTTTGTTAGACAATGCTGGTGTATTGTTTGGATCAGAATTTCAGTTATTATTCAGTTTAATATCAGCAATTCTGGAAACACCATCTGTTTCCAAATGAATATACCTGTATGCCAGAAGCAGCCAGACGATGCAGGTCCACCAAGTCGGCGGCATAGCAAAGTAAATTGTGTTTTGGTTCATATACTCTGTAGGGTTTCTCTTATCTTTACATGAGTTATCTCTTTCTTCTTTCATCCTCTTTACTCTTCTCTCTTTTCTCGAACATCCCCTGTTTCTCCCTTTTGCTTGTTTCTGCCCTCTTCTGTTCTCTCATTCTCTTTCATTTTCCTGTCTCATCTCAACGATCTGCACTCATTTTCCCTACTCTTTTATCTTCAACTGTCCTCTCCTCTTTTCTGCCCATATCTCATCTTCTTTCAAATTCTCTCTTTTAAGATTTGTTTCATAATCATATTTCTGTTCTTCCATGGTGTAATTTAATTGATATTATTAATATGTTCAGGGTATCAGAGAACGTTTGTATATGGGGGAGGGGGTCAATTTGGTCTAAAACATGAAGCTTTCATGATTTTCACAAAGAAAAGTCCTTGTGGATTGCAAAAAATAGAGTGTTGTGGCAATTATGGAATCGATTCTTTTGCTGCATGAAACTTTTGCAATAGACCCTACCGCCAATATGGTGATAGACAGTAGAGGGCTACCTTTCTTCGACACTACGCAGGTGAGAACATGCACAGATACGATACTGGTGGATACGATTATACAAGGTTTCTTCTGATTTCAATTAGAACAGTGTCATCAAATTTTACTAAAGTATTGTTCAGGTTTCATGAACTACCCTGATGATTTTATACAAACTATGTAGGTAACATCATAATCTGTCGCTTATATTTCATTGGCTCCTAAACTATCATTTCTATCGCACTTTCCAGTTTTCGACCCAATGTATTTGTATGGGACCTGGCAGTGCCTTTTCTCCATATACCTATGGTCAATGCTGCCCTCTGTGGCCGAATACCTTAGCGGTGATAGTGAGAATTCTTAACCACTTTTGAAGTTCTTGCACATGAAAGTTTCAGGTCTTCATCACTTGATCTACTCTTCAACTTCAGTTTTCATTTTTCTACAAATACAGTCGACAGCGTCAGTCCAACTGTGTAAGAACAAAGTCCTTATAAAACAATAAAACAAGACCAGCAAAGTCACCTTGTTTTTACAATCTTTTATTTCATCATTAATCTTTACTACAAGGTTCCACTTTATGAACAGCCATCGTAAGCTCATCATATCCTCTTCATTTTACAGGTCATACACTGTCTTGCGCAACTCATTGCATTCTGTTAACAGCGGTTGTTTTAGCACATGTACATCTAACTTGGGAGGTCTGTGGAACTAAAAAAAGTCATGCATTTTTATGTTATTTTGTTAACAGGGATTGCTTTGGTACATGTACATCTAACTTGGAATGTATGTAGTACTAAATCAGTCATTATGCATTTTCATGTGTGAATATTCTGTTTTGGTTGGTTGGTCATCATTTTGTTGCATGTAAACAATGTTTTTTTTAAAGACATCATAAAAACATACAACATGTACTGAGGTCATTTTTCATGCAATATTCCTTTGTAAATGTGAGTAATTTTGAATGTCAATGCTGGTCTGGTGATTCTTCATTGCCATTTCAAATTGAGAGAAATCCTGTTTATTTGAGTCTGGCTTCCAAAAACAAGACATTGTATCATTAGACAAGAACCAGAAAAGCATTCAAGACACATAGTAGTAGGTTTTCATGGGGAATTCGACACCATTCGGGTGTTCACCTAATAACAGGTGTTGTCAGTCACCAAGAATGGACTTCACTTTTATGACAGACTGGTCTTGTGTAATGTACTGTGTCATAGCCTACACCTTAGACAACATGCACATTTTTTGTGACTCCTTTATACATTATTCTGAGAATAAGAAATGTAATGTGCATTGGCGCTCTTTTATTGTGGCACTAATGTATGTCACCCATCATTGAGCCGAGATTGGTTAGGACCAAGGGCTCATTCATATGATGCTGTAATCCACCATAAAAAGAAGAAAAAATAAGTGCTGCAGGTTTTTTTAAATGTGTAGATGAACTTGCAACAAACAAAAGTACTACTTGTATCCACTTAGCTAGTGTTATAAGATACAGAAGTTTGCAGCATATTACTCTTTACATCATCACAAAAAACCTGCCATGCTCTTTTCCTTTTGATCATTTATTATTCAAACTGGAAAACGGCTTTAGAATTTCCTAAATTCATCATGGAAGATCATACAAATGAAGATTGTTCTCCACTGTTAATTTATCATTTAACTTGGTCCCTTGATACTGCTTATAACCTGTATCAAAATAGCAACATGTGTTATTTATGTTGACAGCATTGTGCATCCCTAAAACCATTGGAGAATCACCTCTTCAGCTTGATATGTTGAATTTCAGTTTAGAGGTTGAAAACAAACGCATGCTTAGAAGGAGAGATGTATCAAATAAGTCTTAGTTGTATTGTACAAATGTATAGTAAGAAATAGTTTGGGGGATTCCCCAAGCTTGTTAATTATATCATCATCCGATTACTGCTGCAGACTCTGTATTCCCTCAGTGCAAGGGATTACAGGAGAGATCTGCATTTTAACATAACAAAGCTAGAAAATGAGAATTTTATCTTTTAGATATCGGTAGTGTAGAAATAGTAGGAAGGATGATATAGTAAGCTAGAGAGAGATGTTGGGTTGTGTATGCATTCTATATATTTGTAGACACATGTTGATTTTGGTGATGAACATATAAATTGAAATGTTATAGAGTGTGTATAAATATAAAAAAGAATGATTTCTACATTAATATCATAGATGCATTCGTGTCTTTGTTTTTAATTTTTAGTCTCTTGTCTCTTGATATGTATATGAAAATACCAATCAAATCTTGTTTTATGACTCACACATTTGCCACTCCTGATGACGAACAGTCAAACTGTCCGAAATGTCATGCCTCTCTCTCTCTCTCTTTCTCAGCATTCATTACATGGTTCACCAGTCTTTTTCAGGACTCCTCTCATTTTCTCTTCCCCTCTCACACTACATTATCAAATGGTTCTTTATGGAAAGTAACCAAAAGAACGCTTCTCTCTCCCATTCTCTTTTCTTTTGAATCCCCTTTCAAGCCCAAATGCCCTTTTCAGGACTACCCAAAACTGCAAACTCGATTCTTATACACACCACCATGCAAAACCCAACCTTTAAAGATCATCAAACATCACCTTTGATTTGTCATTTACTTTTAATTGTATCCAGATGCAATAAATGACAACATCATAACTGAGACGTTAAAAACGGCAATAACTTATATTATGACCAATGTCTGAACAAATTTCCCAACCCACAATGAAAGATAATGAAACTGATTATCATACTCTCTGGCTGCTTGATATATCCCATCACACAAACACATGTGCTATCCTCATAAAATAAACAAACTATGTATATGATATACAAGGAAAGGTCACTATCGAGGCAAAAAAATATGTAAGTTAGGCAATAAAATGGCAGACGCCAAATTAAATGAAGCTTTTGTTCTAGATATGGAGGCTCACACATTCTATCAAACTGGATTGTACTTTAAATTAAACAACTAAATGAACTATGTGGATGCAAGTAGTAACTCTGTTCTAACTAGCTCTTTGTACATGATTCATAAATATATTCATATAATAATTAGATACGACAGAAGCAACACAAATCTATACAAGGTTCCTCTGTGACTGTAGGTGTTACATGAGGTTATGTCCATACCTAAACTATAAAAACACTAGAACACGAGACACTGTCTTAAAAATTCATTCTAACACATTTTGAATTAGCATCGTTCCTCATCTTGATAGTTAAACAAAACGCAAAGAAATAAACCAATATTTGTGATGACAGCTAGTCTGTGAGGATACATTTGTACAAAAACATATCACATGAATATCGTTAGCACCATTTTTGTCATTGTCTTACAAAAAATACACACTTCATATGCAGCAGGTATGAAACTTTGCATAGTTCACAATATTCATACATGTATTTGAACCTGTGGTTGGCAAGAAGACATGATCTACAAGACATAATACAATTTGTGTCAGTGATTTTTTTTATGTTTCCTTTACAGTTGATAATGCATGATTTCATTTGATTTGACAATACATACTAGTAACTATGGCAATACACAGGCAAGATTGAGCATCAAAATTCACTGGTCTTCTCTTGACTAAATGTTTTTTGCAATGCCCCACCCTTTTAAGTCTGAAATATTTTTATCATACAGGTCTTGTCATAGAGGTTAAAAATTCTTGCCACGGTTCGAGTAAGAGCTTATCAGAATAAATACACCCATTGGAACGTATCCTGCCCTCACGAGCAGTAAAAGATCTACAACTAACACACAATTTTATCTTCCATAATAGTCAGCCAATAATGCATGATATAAAAAAACAAGCAAGAAAAAGAAGGCACAGATATTTTATAAAAGGGATGGCAATCTTGTTATAACAATGTACATTAATTACATGTATAATTCACAAGCTAATAGCACACACTACAAACTCAGAGAAGATGATTTTATGAGAAAATAGAAGTGATGTTTCAAAACAATTAAAAACGAAGTTACTCCTATCTACAGATGGAATTGCTATATTCAAATGTGAGGGAAGAGTGAGAGTATATACATACCAATATGTAAGATTCATTCCAATGGTGAAATGCTACAAAAGTATGATGTTGAAAAGACTGACTGGGTGTACAATATTAAGTACCCTTTAAATAAAATGTTCAACATGGACTATCTATGGTATCAGTATGATGTATAGCACTAGAATAAAACCCCAAGTTCACTTTCAAAATAAAAAATGGCAGTATTTCCTTGTAAAAAACTTGACCCTTATTTTCCCAATTTAAGAGCAGAATTCAGTAATTTTATCTGAATCCAATGTCAATAACAGACAATCCTTTGTTAAGAATCTAAAATCTTATTCTAATCATTTGAACATACAGATTTATCAATTTAGTCCTGCCTAAATTAACAACAATAACTAAAAAGTACATGTAGCATCTCAATCTTGCATATGTGAGTATAAATCCAATTTTGTGACATTAAAAGAAATGAAAAAATTACATCCTATGTTGTGATGAATTCACAATGTACAGCTCTAAATGATGTCCATGAAGGTCTTATGCTATGACTCCTGATTAACGATGCAACGCTTTTCTTTCTTTCGGCGTGGGTAAGCTTGGATTAGACAAATGTTGCGGACATCTTCCTTGCAACACCTCAGTGTTAGGGTGGTAACTCTTTCTCCAGGTCTTGCCAACATTCAGAATGGTCATGTACACATCCTTATGCTTCCATCATCTTCCTCCACTCAAGAGGGGTCTGAAAGCATTGTATTTTACCTTTTTTTTAATACTAAATGGTGTTCCATTGACTGCAACCCTTCGTCTAAACCTAAAATATTTTGTTGCTGAACATTTTAACCAAGAACCCAATTGACTATCAATCAGACCGACTCTGCAGCTCTGCTTCCATCTATTACATCCATGTAACAGGGGTCCCAAAGCATTTACTTTCGCTTGTTTAGATTGAATGGTGTTCCTCTGCTGTCAACCCTCTGTCTAAACTTATATAAGTTGTTTCTGAATCTCTATTCCATGAACCTTGTTTAGTTTAACTGAATTGGTGAAGAATGGGGCTTAGTTTAGTTGACTTTTTGACACACTCTGCAGCGGCTGACCACCGACTGTAGCTGTCCTGATTTGATAGTGCGTTTCCTGGGAATGGCAAACTGGTCTTCCTCGTCGATGACTGTTAACCAGAAGCTGTATTCGTTTGAGAAGAAGTGACAGTTACCTCTGCCATTGCACTCGATGAAAGGCGTGGCACGGAAGTTCTCCAGGCAGGAGCCGACGGATTCAAGGCCTTGGCCACCGCCTTCAGAAGCTGCTGTGTACTGTTGACAGAGAAGAGAAATAAATGTTACATCATCACTGCCAGGAGACCTTGTTTACTGTACCTCTTCCAACTGCACGTTTCAAGCTCAAGGCTGCCAAAGCAGGGGGTTTATGTTTAGGGTTAGGGTAGGCCTAAGGTATAATGTCGAGCTCAGGTTTGAAATTAGGAATTCAGTTAGAGTAAGTAATTGACCACAGAGCAAATATTGCAGGAGGATGTGTTATAGAACATGGCGACTTCTTCAAAAAAGTACCAAAGACAGATACCTTCAGTTTTTAGAACTAACTATTAAAATTAAGATGTAAAATGAGTATTGATTAAACACTGCAATACAATACTATTTTCTTTCACTTTTTGATTTTGTTTACGTGTTAATTTGACCAGTAGAGTTTTACTAATATACGCATCAACTTGAGACCAAGCACCACGAGCATCCAAGCTGGGGGATAACGGTGCTACATCATGTACAGGTAGAGAGGACGTTGTTATTGTGGCTTACCATAGTGAAACTGTACCCTGTCCATAGACTCCTCCACCCTCCTGGACACTGTGGAATCTCCTGTGACTGGCTGTGAATCGCAAGGGATTGAGTGGGAGCCTCACACACAGTGCAACGACTGATGTAAGGGTCAATCTGTTGGTTCATCAGGGGCATCATGGGAAGGGGCTCGTTGGTGGTCAGCCAGTAGGAGCGGTCATTGCGGCTGGCGTAGTTGCAGACGTTGTTGAAGTTGCAGAAGAGGAAGGGCATGGTGCTGAAACGTTGCAAGCAAGAGCCAGCATCACCTGTAAAGATTTTGAATTTTTTAAAGTATATCAATATCATACAACAGTTATCATCATTGTATAATCGCACCTGTGCAACACAATCAAAAGGAACAACAAGTAGCATTTGCTCTGGATTGAAGGAAATTGGACTTACCAACTTATCCTAGAAGGAAATTTACACATACCGGTACACGTATATGGATATAACATTTCTCATCAAAGGATGAAAAGTGGTTACTCCATCATAGTTGCTTTATGCAGTGGTCAATCAGGTTTATTTTCTTGCCATATTCCTGTTTTCCTACACCACATTGGAAAACCACAGAAAAATGCAAAAAGCTACGTTACCCAGAGAGATTACTAATACAGGTAAATCAATGAATTTCTGCACTTCCCTAGATCTTGATCTTGATCATGGCCCCTGCTGATGGAGAAGAGAATACTGAATACAAGGACAAAACTTTCATCATGATTTATAATTCTACATGTTTTATCAAATTCTTGATGGCTATACATTGTACAAGACATATAAGATACCTACCTAGATCTTGATGGTGATCATGACCATTACCAATTGAGAAGAGAATACTGAATACAAGAACATCATCTACATCATAAGTCATAATTATACATGTTCTCTCAAACTCTTGATGGCGCTTGTACAAGACATATTAGATACGTACCTAGATCTTGATGGTGAGCATGGCCATTGCCCATGGAGAAGAGAACACTGAATCCACGCCACAGTTCCACGGTGCCTGCGGGACAGGAGGGTACATTCCTGGACTGGCTGTGACGGGTGATGAAGTGCCCTCGGTTGGGCCGGATACCGGTGTTTCCTCCCATTCCCTTAGGACCAGGTGATCCAGGTCGTCCTGTTAAAAAGACCATTAGGGACATCATTAAGAGGACAAGGCAATGGTTAGATTTAATCAGTTGAAGATATGAAGATAGTACACAAATACTGAATTGTTTGAGGAGCAATAGGTTTAACTATTTTGCAAAGCTGATCTTCTACACCATTTACCCTATTAAGTCCTGGAACATAGCTCATTATTGATATCAGTAATATGAAAAAAAATTATTTCTACCATGACAAGGAGCAGAAGCGTTTCATACTTACTCAATAGTCATATCGATTATTGCATGCCTGCCCTATGAATATACTGACTCTAAGTTGAGGGGAAATGGTACTACCGGTATTTCCCTAAAACGATCTAAAACGATATGTGTTAAACTATGTTTTTTTTTGTAACTTGCATATTCATTACTTTGCCTTGATTGAAAACTTTGGATACATGTACATCATAAGTTCATATATCATCATTATTATATTATAAAAAGTAATCAGAGTACGGCTGTTTATACATGAACCCTTGGGTATACAGATTTGAAACAGAAACAATATCTACAGAAAAATGTCGTCTTTAACTAGAGGTTGGAACTATAAGGACAGATTAAATACCTCCATATCCAGACTCTCCACTGTCTCCCGGGAAACCTGGCATTCCTGGCTCTCCATTGCGCCCTGGTAGACCAGATGGACCAAAGTCTCCAAATAGACCATCTCTTCCTTTGGGTCCTGCACAAGAAAGAAAACAGCCCAAATACATACAATATTATTTCAAAATCCATTCAAATTGAAGTTCTAACATATCAATGGGTACATAAGAGTCACACCGTTTTTTGTTTAAATGGAAGCGAAACATTTTTTCAAATGCATGCAATATTATTATCCAAAATAAAATACACATTGTGGAAACAGTTTTCTACATGAATATACCAAGTACTACGATATCAAGAACAATCACATATGATATGTGATAGCTGCCAACAAGTAAGTACATTAAATGCATACAAGCATTAACATTGTCCAAATCTGACATACCATATAATCAGGAATCAGATTGCTCATATAGTAACCCATTACTTATTAGCAAAAAGACAGAGATTATGTTTGAAATGAGAGAGAGGTATATATTAAAAGAATTATGGTAAAAAGTCAGATATTCCCAAAACATGCAATGCCCACTGGTATTGATCTGTGTAAGTTTATTTACCTGGAGGTCCCAGCGGTCCATCGATGCCTGGTAAACCAATCCTTCCTGGGAACCCAGCAAATCCTTGTTCTCCTTGTTCTCCCTTCAGTCCTTTCTGGGCAAGACCAGGATCTCCTCCATCTCCTTTCACTCCATTGAATCCAGGCTGACCTGTAATGTTAATAATAATAATAGTGATAATAGTGGTGTAAGGATTAAGTTATAAGAAGCCAAATTTAGTTTTTTGTTTTGAGGATACCGTAGATGGACTGGGATCGTTGTACAAACGTAGGTAGGCTTGTCACACGGATTCAAGGAAGGAAAACTTTGTTTTACCTACTAAACTACTACTACTATTGCTACTTTGTACATTCCGGTGTATGGAATTGATTGCAGTTCAGTTGAGTGTTAATAAACAAAGAACCATGAAATTACCGCATTGTCTCAAGGACCATATGTAGATATCTCTACAAGTGGGCTCTTGTTTGGTGCTCATGTCTGTAGCGGACTTGACACTCACAGTGCTCCCCAATTATTACCCTGGATCTTAGCATGGCGGCCATCATGATGCTCCAGCATTTCAAAGAATTAATCCTTACCAGGTACCCACTTTAATATCTAGGCGCGATAGCTCAGTTGGTAGAGCAGTGGTCTCGTATTCCGCAAATCCGGGTTCGAAACCAAGGCGATGCGCTTGTGCCCTTTGGTAAAGCACTAATCCTCATTACCAGGTCTCTCGGAGAGGACCTAAAGCCGTTGGTCCTCTGGTTGCTTACTAACAAGCATTTACCGTAAGCTTTCTTAGCAGTCAGGTAAAATAACGACCACTACTACTGGGTCAAGTGTGGCAAATGTAGATTAATGTCTTGCCAAAGGACATTAGAGCCTCGGCGGGACTCAAACCACTAACCATGTGATCCATAATGAAATAGAGTTTAATTGAGTTGAGCAGAATTTGAATTGAATTGAATAACCATGAAATGAAGTTTAATTTCTTTCACACAATTGAATTTAGACTGATCGACCTGTCAATTTTAATAAAATAAAATAAAATTGAAATCAACAGATTTTGATCATTCCTCAAAATGGTAATAGCTGGCTGCTATTTAATATTGAGTGACAAAATCCTTTCTTTGAAAATAGTGAAAGCCAATCATTGTTACACAAAGAGACAAAATATTGCTTAGGTGCATTACTGTGCGATCAATTTCCTACACTAACCAAATTCATAAAATAAAACTTGGACAAAATGTACCTAACCTTAAACCAAAATTGAAACCTGAACCATAACCCTAACCCTATAAAGTATATGTAAGTGTATTTGATTTAGTCGACCAAAATGTTAGAGCGCCATCTTCGGCGACAGACTTTTATAGACAGAGTTTCAAAGTCAAACAATGATCAATGAAGAACAATGAGAAATCGATGATTAATTGCAACATATTCTTAGCTTTCTTTGCAGACAAGTTAATTGACTAAAAGGAGGCAAGAAGGTCGGTACTTTAACTTGCAGTGTTTCAGTTGTGGGAAATATGTGTATAGTTATGATATTTATGCCATAACTTTGAGGCAGGTGCCCATGTATAAGAATTTATGTTGATGAATCTGTGTATAAGAACTTAAGTTGTATTAATTTAAAGAAGTGTGAAGACTATTCAGGAAACACAAAGAAATAGTAAGGTTAAGTAAATGGCAAGGTTTGGTATAATGCCTATGGGTCACGCCCAAATTTGTATTAAGAAACCTGTAATTATTACATGGATAAGGAACCTGTAATTATTATTGCATTTTAATTAATGCCCATTTTTTGTTGTTTGTTTTCTCACAGTTTTCACGGAGTGAAAAGAACAGAGTTAAAAGAAAGGAGTCAAAGAAATGAAGCTACGCTCCTACCAAAGAATAAAAGAACACTCCCGTAAAAACCTTGTTAACTTGTCGTTATTGATTGGCTGCAGTTACAGTGAAAACTTCTGGCTCTAAGATTGGTTACTGTTCACTGTCGACAAGATGCCAGAGGAAGAAGAGGCTAAGCGAACGAGACCCGACCCGAAGCCAACCGAACTTGGACTCCAGCACCAAAACGACCAACGTGAACTGGAGTTTCGTTATTCATTAAGAGGTTGGCGTCAAGCGGCCAATAAGTTGAGAGCTGCTTTAAGTGATGAAGAACTCGTATTGGTTATCAAGCAACAGAGAGATGAAGTCCAAGCTGCTATGGACAAGGCAACGGTAGTTCAGGATTCTCTCAGCAAGATTAAGGTGTCCTTAAAATTGCATGATGACAGCTTCGACAAGATTGAAGAGGTGGAGGAGCAGCATGCAGAGCTGATGAAACAAACCCACGAAAGAGTGAAGGTTCTACAAGGAGGCTCTGTAACCCAATCAACGTCATCCAGACACTCCTCTAAACCTTCTCCAAAACGACAGAATGATTGTGAAGAGTGGGTCAACGCCGAACCAAAAGATGACCCACCTACGATGGAGAAGATTAACCCAAGAGCTCAGGACATTGAAACGGGAAACTCGTTAGCAGCGAGTTTAGTGGACCAGATGAGGATAAGTCACCTGCCCCCTCCAGAGCCCACTCAGTTCGATGGAAGTCCCCTCCAATATCCAACTTGGAAAAGAAGTTACGACCTCCTAATAGAAAGAAGAGAGATAAACGCAGCAGATAAGTTCTATTATCTTCTGAAGTACATAAAGGGCCAACCCTTGCAACTGGTACAAGGATACGCATTGCTAGGTGATACCAACTCTTATGCTGCAGCGAAGATGGCCCTAGAAAGGAGGTACGGAGATCCCTTTGTCCTATCTAGCGCCTACAGGGATAAATTGGACTCTTGGCCCAGAATCAGCAACAGAGATGGCCAAGGTCTTCGAATGCTGTCTGACTTTGTGAAACAGTGCTGTACAGCAATGACAACCATCGGAAATCTGGCTCAATTGAATGATGAGAGGGAAAATAGGAAGATCTTGGCTAAACTCCCAGACCACCTGATTGTGAGTTGGGGTAGGAAAGTTGCTCATTGGAAGAAAACTCATGGAAATTTCCCATCATTTCATGAGTTCAGTGACTTCATTGAGGAGGAGGCCAATATCGCATGCGACCCAATTACCTCTTTGTATAGTGTAAAGGAGCTGAAGGTAGACAAGCAGCGGACGATTCCGGGCGCAACATCCATGTATGCCTCGACAGATCAACGCCCTCAGCATCCAAGAAAGGGAAAGAAGCAGGAGTATGTATGTGTGCTCTGTAAGGAAAACCACCAACTAGGAGTTTGTAAAAGGTTCCTTTCAATGACTTTGAAGGAGCGAAAGACCTACGTACGAGACAATGGACTGTGTTATGGTTGTCTCATAAGAGGACACACATCAAGAGAATGCAGAAGGAGAGACACATGCAGTGTCTGCAAACGGCGACATCCCACTTCTCTTCATGAAGACTGGAATCGGAGTAATCAAGTACAAGAGAGAGATGATGTGAGAATGGAGATCCAATCGTCTGATCATGAGAGTTCTAACGCAACAGAAGAACTCCGGTCATCGAGTTCTCACACAACAGTAAACCACATGACCTTGAAGAAACAGGCTGTAAAGTGTTCAGCAGTTGTTCCAGTCTGGATATCACAGAAGGGCAGATTTGATGAAAGGCTGATATATGCATTATTGGATACTCAGTCGGACACCACATTCTTGCTGGAATCTACCAAGGAAGCCATGAATCTACAAGGTTCAAAGGTGAATCTTCTTCTTTCAACTATGTCCAAGAAGGATGAGAGGATCCCTAGTGAGAAAATTCAAGGACTCACGGTTCGTGCTCACAACAGTATGAAGACGATTGATCTCCCTGCAGTCTATACACGAGACATCATGCCCGCAAATAGGGAGTATATTCCAGTGCCTGAAGTGGCTATGTCCTTTCCTCACCTGACTGAAATTGCAGAGGAACTGCTACCACTACAAGACTGTGAGGTAGGATTGCTGATCGGATATGATTGTGCACGTGCTCTAATTCCTCGCAGCATAATTCTTTCTCCTGATGATGATGATGGACCCTTTGGGATGAAGACAGATCTAGGTTGGTGTGTTATGGGTATATCAAGTCAGAAGGAGTTTGCTGTCAGCCCCGACGACAGAATAGGGTTCAGTCATCGATTGATCACCTGTGAGATACTCCCTGAGCTGACTGAAAGCAAAACTGCAACCAAGGAAAAGGTGATGTTCTCACACAACGTCACCATCAAGGAAGAGATAAGTCCTTCATCGGTGCTGAGGATAATGGAAGCAGACTTCTCGGACCTAAGAGACAACAGCGAACCTTCCTCACATAATGATGTTAGATTCATGAACATCATGAAGAATAATGTTCGCTTAACAGAAGACGGACATTACGAAACTCCACTTCCCTTCAAGGAAAAGGAACCAGATCTGCCAAACAACAGGTATATGGCAGACAAGAGACTACAACATCTCAAACGAAAGTTTGAAAGAGATTCAAACTACCACCGTAGATACACAGAGAAGATGGAAGCACTCTTAGATAAAGGGTATGCAGAGTTAGCACCAGAAATCAAGACAGCTGATAGTCCAGTCTGGTATATTCCCCACCACGGTGTTATACAGCCCAACAAACTTCGGGTCGTATACGACTGCAGTGCTCAGTACAAGGGGGAATCCCTTAACGATTATCTTCTCACTGGACCAGACCTGACAAATGCTCTCGTAGGCGTACTCTGCAGATTCAGGAGAGACGAGATTGCATTCAGTTGCGACATAAAGGAAATGTTTCACCAATTCAAGGTGAGAGAAGACCACCGTGACTACTTGAGATATTTGGGGTGGAAAGACGGAGATATTCTTCGAGAACCCATTGAGCTGCGTATGACTGTCCATTTGTTTGGCGCATCTTCCTCCCCAGGCTGCTCCAATTTTTGCTTGAAGCAGACAGCTACTGATCACGCAGACGAATTTGGAAATGATGTGAAGGACTTCATTCATCGGGATTTCTATGTGGACGATGGATTGAAATCCGTTCCTTCTACAAAGGACGCTATCGACCTAGTTTCGAGAACAAGACAACTGTGTAAGAAAAGTGGACTGCATCTACACAAGTTCATATCTAACAGCAGAGAAGTAATGGAATCTGTTCCGGAGCCTGATAGAGCGAAGGGAGTCTCCAAGACGGATCTTATGGGAGTTGATTCACCCATGGAAAAGGCTCTGGGAGTTCTATGGTGTGTTGAGTCCGACACACTTAAGTTCAGGCTCACTCTACATGACAAACCCCTGACGAGAAGAGGAGTCTTAACCACAGTTATGTCAATCTACGATCCATTGGGTCTGCTGGCGCCAGTTGTACTGCGAGGAAAACAGATCTTGCAAGAACTATGCAGGAAAGCAGTAGACTGGGATGATCAACTGCCTGATGAACAGAGAAGCAGCTGGGAGAAATGGAGAGCTGATTTGCATAATCTGGACTCAATCTCCATACAAAGATGCTACAAGCCTGCGCATTTCGGAGAAGTAAAGACAACGCAGCTTCATCATTTTTCTGATGCCAGTACTACTGGTTATGGCGAGTGCACATATCTAAGGCTGACTAATGATGAAGGAAAGGTGCATTGTACACTCCTGATGGGGAAGGCCAGAGTTGTACCTCTCAAACCAATCACTGTACCACGCCTGGAGCTGACAGCTGCAGTTGTTTCAGTTAGAGTCAGTGCATTTCTTCAGAGAGAGTTTGTACCCTCAGACACTGAAGAGTTCTATTGGACGGACAGCAATGTAGTAATGGGCTACGTTAGTAACGACTCTAAGCGCTTTCATGTCTTTGTTGCCAACCGTGTGCATCAGATTAGACAACACTCTTCCCCCTCACAATGGAGACATGTGGGTACACAGGATAACCCAGCTGATATTGCTTCTCGAGGAGCTACAGTCAACCAACTCCTGTCTTCCTTTTGGTTTACTGGCCCAAAGTTCCTGTGGGAAAGCAACGCAGAGAAGTTCATTCAAGGTGATAAGTTTGACATGAAGTTGGATGATCCAGAAGTGAAGAAAGCTCATGCAAACGTTGTACATGGTCACTCTAAGCCTTGTACCTTTGAGATCGATCGTTTGGACAGATTTTCCTCTTGGCACAGAGCTAAAAGGGCAGTAGCAAACTGCATGAGACTGAAGGCGCATTTGAGAAGGCGATGTCGAGAGCGAGGTCTGAGCAAGTCATCCACCACTGGAAAGACTTCATTCCATGGTGAGCTACAGAAGCTTACTACAAAGGAACTCAACAAAGCACAATGTGAAATCCTGAAGACCGTACAGAGAGATGCATTCAGTAATGAACTGACAGCTATACAGAACCAGTCTGGTAAAGGTAGTGAGATGAATGCAAACAAGAGACACAGGCGTAAGCAGCAAGGGTATAGTCGCTTTCATCGTCTTGACCCTTTCATCGACGCTGATGGGATACTGAGAGTAGGTGGACGCCTAAGTTGTGCTGAAGGTTCCTATGAAAGTAAGCATCCAGCTATTCTACCTCAGGACCACCATATTACAGAGTTGATAATACGACATTGTCACATTCAGACAGCTCACCAGGGACGAGGTATGACCATCAACCAACTGAGGTCCAGCGGCTTCTGGGTCTTATCTGGGAGCTCAACAGTCTCCAGACTCATAAGGAAGTGTGTCACATGTCGTAGGCTACGTGGCGAATCTCAATGGCAGAAGATGTCAAACCTGCCTAAGGACAGAGTTGAGCCTACACCACCCTTCACATACAGCTGTATGGACGTGTTTGGTCCATGGGTAATCAAAGAAGGCCGAAAGGAACTGAAAAGGTACGGCCTCCTCTTCAGTTGTATGGCTTCTAGGGCTGTGCACATTGAGACACTAAATTCGATGACAACCGACTCTTTCATCAACGCTCTTCGACGATTCCTATCCATTAGAGGTCCTGTGCGCCAGCTTCGTTCAGATAGAGGCACTAACTTCATCGGGGCTGAAGCTGAGCTTGGAGAAGGTATTAATACACACCAGGACAAGATTCAGGAATTTCTTCTGAGGAAAGACTGTGATTATATTCACTTCAAATTCAATGTCCCTTCGGCTAGTCACATGGGAGGTGTATGGGAAAGACAAATACGCAGTATACGTCGTGTGCTAGAAACATTGCTGTATGAAGCTGGACAGCAGCTTGATGACGAGTCCCTGCGCACCCTCATGAACGAAGCAGCAGCTATCGTAAATAGCAGACCTCTGACTGTCGACAATTTGAATGACCCTACACATCCTGAGCCCCTGACACCGAATCATCTTCTGACGATGAAAACCAACGTGCTGTTGCCGCCTCCAGGACACTTCCAACGAGAGGACTTGTACTCTAGGAAAAGATGGAGGAGAGTTCAGCATCTCGCGAACGAATTCTGGAAGCGTTGGAAGCGAGAGTTTCTCCAGAGTCTCCAATCACGTCAGAAATGGACTTGCCCACAGCGTGAAACCCGTATAGGTGATGTCGTAATAATGAAAGACGACAATCCAAGAAACCAATGGACGCTAGCCAGAGTAGTTGATGTTTACCCATCCTCGGACAATCATGTGCGTAAGGTTAAATTGGTGATGGGTGACCCCAAGATAAACAGTCGCGGGAAGCGAATCTTCCAACAACGTTATTTCGAACGACCAATACATAAGCTAATCTTGTTAGTCGCGCATGAAGACCAGGGGAAATTCCCTGACAAGGAGCCACAAGGCTAGGGGGTTGAACTTGGTTGACAAGGAGCCACAAGGCTAGGGGGTTGAACTTGGTTGACAAGGAGCCACAAGGCTAAGAGGTTGAACTTGGTTGACAAGGAGCCACAAGGCTAAGAGGTTGAATTTAATTAACCGAAAGTAATAATTGTTATGTCCAAAACGCCATGTCTAGAGATTGAGCCTGGCATTGGATAACAAGGAGCCAAGGGTCTGAATTAAGACTAATTTATGTTATCATTTGATATTGTTCATTGTGTCCGAAATTGAAACTAATTTGAATTTTCGCAGACATTGTGTTTGATAAATGTGATTTCAACCAAAATTCTAAAGTCTGAAAGGGAGAATACCTTCAATTTTCTAAATGCCGCTTTGTTTTATGTATATGTATACTGGTTTGATCATAATGCTAGAGTCTGGATGTAAGACTAAATTGAAATGTTTAAGGTTAAACATGCTTTATTTTCTGAAAAGGTCAACTTGGAATATAAAACTATTCCCTCGTTAGTAAAGGTATATCTGTGTCTGAGATGAAAACTACATCTAAGAGTCAAGTGAGACTATATTTACGATTATTCATTTCAGTGTAAACTTACTAGGGTCTGAAGTCAGACTTGTAACTTTGTGACATTACATTTGTTTGCAAAACGAATTGTAGACATAAGGTTGATGCTTATTAAATCATATCTATGTGTCTGATGCAAGACTAAGGAGTTAATGTTATTTAACAAAAATTATACATGCATAAAATAATTTTTAAGATTAAGGGCTAAGACTAATTTGAAACAAAATTTGAAGTCATGTATTACTATACATGGATGGTGTTTTGGTTACAGAGTCAAATTTTTGCATTAGTTTAGATTCTTGATCTCTGAACATCTGTTATAGAAGGATTAGAATTGAACATTATAAGTTGTAAAACCAGTTAAACTTATAGATTGAAGCTAGTGAGTACAGCTAGATGCATTACATTTACTTCTAGATGTGCTTTGTATACATACAAAGTTAGAAATGTTAGTTCTGTAGAACACGTAAGAATTATCGCAGGTATGTCAAATAGTTTATTATGGTAAATTAGTTGTACTAATTTAAAGGAGCCATGTAAGTGTATTTGATTTAGTCGACCAAAATGTTAGAGCGCCATCTTCGGCGACAGACTTTTATAGACAGAGTTTCAAAGTCAAACAATGATCAATGAAGAACAATGAGAAATCGATGATTAATTGCAACATATTCTTAGCTGCAGACAAGTTAATTGACTAAAAGGAGGCAAGAAGGTCGGTACTTTAACTTGCAGTGTTTCAGTTGTGGGAAATATGTGTATAGTTATGATATTTATGCCATAACTTTGAGGCAGGTGCCCATGTATAAGAATTTATGTTGATGAATCTGTGTATAAGAACTTAAGTTGTATTAATTTAAAGAAGTGTGAAGACTATTCAGGAAACACAAAGAAATAGTAAGGTTAAGTAAATGGCAAGGTTTGGTATAATGCCTATGGGTCACGCCCAAATTTGTATTAAGAAACCTGTAATTATTACATGGATAAGGAACCTGTAATTATTATTGCATTTTAATTAATGCCCATTTTTTGTTGTTTGTTTTCTCACAGTTTTCACGGAGTGAAAAGAACAGAGTTAAAAGAAAGGAGTCAAAGAAATGAAGCTACGCTCCTACCAAAGAATAAAAGAACACTCCCGTAAAAACCTTGTTAACTTGTCGTTATTGATTGGCTGCAGTTACAGTATATCTTTGACATAATACAGCCCAGAGCAATCATTGCCAGAGCAAATGTCCGAGGAACCTAGTACTTACCTGGAGGTCCTGGGGCACCCTTGAGTCCAAAGATTCCTGGCCTTCCCTTTGTTCCTTTTTCTCCAATTACTCCTATTACTCCAAAGTCTCCAACAAATCCCTTGTAACCTGGCAAGAGATATCAATCAAACATTCAAATTATCGGGTTAACTGGACCAAACATCAACAAAATTGTTACTTGTTATCTAAATATGTTATTTTGCCATTGAAAAAAAAAATGTCCATTTATGAATTTTGCTTTTCACTGATAAGTGTTTACAAATAATGAATTTAAAAATAATCTAATCACATAAGATTTTACAGCCATTGCTCAAATATTTGCGGCATAATATTGAATGATAATTAAGTTGGTAAGATACACTGATATCTTTCAAAGAAGACAAGCTTGAGGTGTAACAGATGGAGTGAGAGAGAATTAAAAGTCATGAGCTATGTAGATATGATTTAATTACAAACATTTACAAAATCGCAAGTTTGCTTTTTATCAAATCAGTCTTTACCTCTCAAGCCTGGTATTCCTGGAACTCCTTGCATTCCTTGTGGGCCTGGTCCAAGGTCTGGTGGTAAGGGACCTGGTTGTCCTTGCTCACCAAGATCTCCCTTCATTCCCTGTAGACCTTTAGGACCTTCAAATCCAGGCCTACCTAGATAACCTGTAGAGAGACAGACAGAGAGACAGACAAACAGAGAGACAAAGAAGTAGAGATAGGAAGAGAGAGAGAGAGAGTACAGGAGAGACAGAGACAGAGAGATGGAGAGAGAGGGAAACAGAGAGACAGATACACACAGACACAAACAGACAGAGAGAAAGATGGACAGAGATAGAAAGAGACAGAGAGAAAACGACAGACATAGAGAGACAGACAGTAATATATGGGAGAGAGAGAGAGAGAGAGAGAGATTAGTGATAATTCAACTCTTTGCCCACTTTGTTCAACTAAAGGAACAACACAGTGAAGTGTAATGACTACTAGCTTTCAAATGGGGGTGGGGCATAAGTTCTGAATATGCCTCGCTTCTGCGAAGCAGGCAAGACAAAAAATACAACGAAGGGAACCATTTTGATGCTATTTTCTTCCGCTGGAATTCAAACAAGATGATGTGTGGGCTAGACTCACCTCTTTCTCCTGGCCCTCCTGGTGTTCCTGGTGTTCCTGGTTCTCCTCTGCTTCCTATTGGAGCTGTTATTCCACGGTCTCCTTTAAGACCAGGGTAACCTTTCGCCCCGCGAGGACCTAGACCAAACAAATCAAATCAAATCAAATCAAATCAAATCAAATCAAGTCATATCAGATCACATCCAATCCAATCCAATCCAGCCAATCCGGTTAAATCCAATCCAATCCAATTTTGAAAATAAAATTGAGAACTTTGGATTATCAGCAATATACAATTTAGTACAAAATCGAAACAGGTTACGAATGAACAGTCAAAATTGAATGTCCAATCATCAGTGAGAAAAAAATTCAATCAAGCATGGCATATGATCTATTGCTATTCATTTTGTAATGGATGGATTTTTTCTCAAATATAATTTTAGTGTAAGGTTTACTAGCCACAAAAGGTCCAAATATACAACAAGAATATTTTACATATCCAGTCAAACCTGCCTATAGCAACCACCCAAGGTAAACACAAATAGTGGTCGTTGGCGGCCATTTTGATTTTTGAATACCGGTAATTGATTGAGGGCAGTGCACTCGCAATGCCTTTCGCAGACCCGCCAGTGCGCAAAAAAAGGGCTCAGTTGGGCGAAAAACGAGGCAGAGAGCCGATCAATAAATCCAACAATGCAAGTTTTGAGTAACATCATTACCTTGGGATCCTATCTCTCCCGCTCCGCCTGGTTCACCAGGGAATCCTGGGAAGCCTCCTCGTCCAGAGTTACCCTTCTGACCACGGATGCCGTTGTATCCTGGGAAGCCCTTCAATCCGGATTCACCTGAAAAAGACAAGCAGAAATTAAAAGGTTACATTCATCATTAATTACCATCATAATCATCGTCATCATTGTCATGACCATCATCATCATAAACTTAATCACCATCACCATCATCATCATCATCATCATCATCACCACCACCACCACCACCACCACCACCACCACCACCATCATCATCATCATCATTGTCATGACCATCATCATCATTAACATAATCACCATCATCATCATCATCATCATCATCATCATCATCATCATCATCATTGTCATGACCATCATCATCATCATCATAATTGTCTTCCCATACTGTGGTTTGTACCAGTCTGACCACGGATACAGTTGTCTCCAGGCAATCCAGAGCAAGTGGCCATTGTGCATACTTGTACACACTTCACCAAGATATTGCAATGGCACATGAAATATTGGTTTGTGACACTAAAACAATTTTGATACAATTTTGGAAAGGATACTAAATATCTACAAGGAATGCACATGCAATGTGTCTTAAAAGCAAATATTTTTGGATTGAGTAGGTTCGATCCCACCGCTGCCACCTAGTAAAGTTATGATAGGAAACACTCATAATGTAACAGGATATTTGATATATTTCAGAGACAAGTCAGTATATGCAATTATACATTTACTAAGTAAGTATATCTTCAGAGCCCACAAGCATATGCGGGTACATCACCTCATAGCATCTTCGTAATCATACACATGAAATATATCAAATTATTACCTGTATCAGACATCTGAGCAGTGGTTTCACAAACTCATATTACACTTGTTGTAATCCTAAAAGAGATAATCAGTAAATATGAGACCATATTACCCTCTCATGAAAAGCCAATGAACTTTACTTATTAAAAAAGCAGGAACTAAAGTCTCATATCCATCGCGCCGCATTTTGTCATTTTCATTGCGCATCCATTATGCGTACGAGAACCTGCGCACTTCGCGCGCACTCTATTGTGACGTATTAATCACACCAAAGGTACACACTGTTTGCAGTGTACCCAAAATCTTGTCAAGCACTAGACGCACAGTGCTAGCTTGTTTGACAAAGTTTTTTCAATTCTTTGAGATTGTTATGTATGTATTTGCTCTAGATGTCTGATTCGGCTAATAATAATAACAGAATTGACTGGCTTAACTTTCGGGAGATACCACATATATTTCCCTCGCAAGACCCATATTGTCCTCGTTTTTGACTCGAGGCAACATGAGTCTAGTTTGGGAAATATTATGTGGTATCTCCCTCAACGCCAGTCCATATATAATTACACACAGCCTACCTGTCTCTCCATTAGGACCTGGTCCTCCTTTGGGTCCATCTTCACCAATTGGTCCTCGGAATCCAACTAGACCTGAGACCAGAAACAATAATCAAAGATAAAACGATGAAATTCTTCATGATATTAACTTAGTCAGGAGAGGAAAGGTATGGAAATGCCCTTTACTTTAAATGTTCTGCGACTCCTTGATGGCCCAACAGTGTAGAGATGCAATTATCACAAACTCCTTTTTGGCCCATCTGACAATTGGATCCCCTGGTCCGTTCAAGCACAATTCGCAAAAAACAGATGACAATATGTTGATGGACACCTGACATTTGCACTAGTGACATTTATACCAGGGTTATTTCAAAACAAATACAAAAGGTTAGGTTTATCTTGCAATTGGGTTCAAGGTTAAATTTGGGATTTGGGTTAGGATCAGTCGAAGGTTTAATCCGGGGTTGTAATCCAGAATTTGGCAGATGGAAAATTGCAATTGTTGCTGGTGCGCATTGCATGTAAACAGTAAACATAAGCAGTAACATTCAGAGGCCAACTAAGTAATTTTAAACAATTATTGGCCTTTCATGGCCCACCTGAAATTTGACTAGGTACCCCTGGGCCCATCTCATAAAGGGTTGTGATTGTGTAAAATGTTACAATTGATATCCATCACCAGTTAAGTCGCAATGGATTTGTTTCCATCGCAAATCTTTACAAGATAGGTAGTCGCAATCTGGAATGAAGATGAAAATATTTTACCTGGTAGTCCTGGTTCTCCCTCAGGTCCTGGTGGACCCTCTATACCGGGTATTCCTCTACGACCGGGGAAACCATTTCCTCCTTGGGGACCTACATCTCCGACTATCCCTGCAATGAAAAAATGTAATTCATTCGGTGAAAATTTATTCCTAAACCATTTTATGTCACTGAGCTGTATAAGTTTTAATCCAAGTCCCTGCAACAACAACAAAAAGAAAAAGAAATACCAGTCATATTTTAAATCTTGTTTTTAAATTAATTTTTGTCAATGAGCTACATTATGTTAAGCCCAAGTACCTTTAATGATAATTAAAGAATAACAATCTTTTAGTGAAATTTGTTTCTCCACTAATTCATTTTAAAAAGCTGTAAAAGTCAAAAGTCCCAGCAATAATTTTATTGTATTTGTATACATGACTTATTGTAAAAGAAAGTGTAAGAATTATATTAAAGAAAAATGCCAGGTGATCACTTAATACTGTAACCACTTTGGTCAAGAACATTGTAACTGGTAAAGCACTTTATAAGAAACAGTTATTATCATGATCATTAATCTTTAAAGAATTCTGGCCTGAATAGGACAAGACTTCACAACCTTTGTGACCAACACACACACTTTCATCTGAAAGAATCTTCAGGAGTGAAGGAGGCAGATTATGAAGAAGAAGAAGAAGAGATGGATGAGAATGGCTTACCTCCTAGTCCTGTTGGTCCTGGATCTCCTGGGGCTCCTGCTTCACCTCTATTGACCTCTGTGGGGATTCTGATTTCAGGATCATCTCCCTTTTCTCCTCTGGCTCCACGCAGACCTGGGAAACCGTTTCGTCCTGGGTTGCCTGGATATCCTTTGATTCCAAGAGGTCCGGTCTCACCTGAGTAATTGAAGCATATCAATGTGGGTCAAGAACTATCCCAATTATTTATGGTACCAGGTGTTTACTGTAAAAAGTGGAATGGTACCGACTATCTACTGTCATTTATCTATCATGGTACCAGCTATTCCGTGAAAGAATTGGTAAGGGTACCAACTGTTGCTTCTGTATCCACAGATTACAGGAGGTCTAGACTCACATGAATGATTACTGATAATCAACAAGAGTCATGAAACCATCCAAGCTTCATGTATCTATGGTACTAGCTGTCTCCTGTGATATTCTCTTGGGGTACCATATCCACGGTGATTATCACTTATGGTACCAGCTATATGTTACCAGCTGTCTTTTGTTTTAATTGTCTTCAGTAACGGTAGACCCAAATTCACCTACCTGATGGACCATCTGGACCAGTTTCTCCTCGTCTGCCCGGCAGTCCAACTAGACCTGAGTTTCCCTGCAAAATGAAGCATCAATGAATGAGCTTGGAATTATGCTAACTCCATTTACACTACTTTGTTGATCAAAACCATTATGATCACACACATATGCATATTCATAGGTACTGTTATATACTATTCAAACATAAACAAGTATTTGGTCTCTGTAAAGGTATACCTGAAGTAAACTGCACATGTAGTGGAATTTATGAAAACCTAGTCTGTTCTCAATCTACTACATAATCCAGGGCAAACAAAATTTCAAGACAAAAAACATCAATCTAAATGGAGTGACCTATATAGACGGTGCCTCTACAGTTGTCTCTCCCTGCCTATTTACATTCACAAGGAAAGATCTTATGCTATATGTGCTGATATGGATGAAGCTAAAATAGTAACTACCAGGCACATCAGAAACATTTTATGTATTTCATTAATAATAGGCTTACAGGAAACCTTTCATGCATTACTAAGTCACTTGGAACAGACATTCAAAGATATAAAGGAGGACCGTAGAATGCAGTCCAGAAACAAAATGCTGTTCCACTTACTGGTATGCCTGGAGTTCCAAAGTCTCCTCTAGGTCCTGGTTCTCCCCCAGGTCCAGGGGGTCCTACGTCTCCTATACCACCCATCGGGCCCCTTTCACCATCTGCTCCGGCTAGACCTGGACCTCCAGGGAAACCATCTGCTCCCGGGATACCAGGTTCTCCAACTCGACCACTTGGACCTGGACATTATCAATGATTCTATCTTTAATCCTCAAGTATATTGTGTGCAAATGGATAATAGGGACTGGTATATTACAGAGAGATGGGACAATGTGCACTCATTCTATGTTGGCAAGCCTGAATCTAATCAGAGGGATAATGATGCATCAATAAATTGCTTGAAGATGAAAAAGTAATGTAACAAGTACATGGAAAAGGAAATGGTTCTACACAAATCCTGATTGCTATCATGATCATAACTACATGACAATTTACAATGTACGGAACATTTTGGTATTGAAAGTAGGTGCATTATTTATTAATTCATCTGGAATCATGGAAATCTTTTAAAGAAAAACGTCAGTTATGTCAGTTTTACAGCCAGAATAGATGAAGTGAGAGTTTTGATCTCCAGTAAAAATAGCTCGGCTAACTTTTGAATGATATTGATCATCATAAATTGAAGTTAATGAATGGTACAAATGTTCTACACTGGAGACTGAAGACTATCGCCACCTCAACGTCAGAACAACAATAACAACAACAACTATCTTCAGCACTGATAGGGTTTAAAGAAGCTTACCAGGGTTTCCAATGTTTCCCTCCGGTCCTGGATTTCCATCAAATCCTCGGCTGCCTTCCATTCCTTGAAATCCAGGATAACCTGCATCACCAGGGCCTCCAGAAAGTCCCCTTGGTCCTCGGTTTCCAAACATTCCTGGTATGATCAAGGTAAATATAAGGAATTATTCTTCCTACAGAGGATTTTTCAGGCACAATATAAGTGATTTATTCTTGAGACAATTCTAGAAACTTGACCCACTTGTCAAATATTTTGCCATGTCTTGTCTAATACATCCTTGTATTGGCCTCACAGCCAGCAAACCAGCAAAAGCACAAAGCAGTCTAGATGTATCTTGTCAATTTCCAAGCAGCTAATAATACGATCAAAATGCATATGAAGCTTTTTGGGGTTTGGGTTTTCTATTTTATTCTTAAGATTTGTAATATTCTGATGAGGCCATGAAAACATTTCTTGTGATTTTTTTTTCTTTGAAGCTACTCTTCCAAAATGTTCTCTGAATTTACAAATAGTTGACTGGTAAATCATTTGCAAATATAACTAACTTAATTTGTTGGTTTGACAAATTTTCAATAATAAATCATAGCAAATATTAGATAGCAATCTTAAGGGCACATCTTAATGCAGGTAATAACAACTGATAAAGGTATGGAAATGTAGCATTAACCGGAGGTTACAAATTAGAGATAATAATAATAATAATATTTAATTTTTATATAGCGCTTATGACAGTTGTAACAAATTGGACAAAACAGGTTCCTGGTCTTACCATTTTGTCCTGGTCTTCCTTGGAATCCTGGGAAACCACTTGGTCCTAGATCTCCTAAATCTCCTGGTACTCCCCTCACTCCAATGATACCTGGTGGTCCGGGTGGTCCGTTCACTCCACCTGGTCCTGGATCTCCAATTTCACCTACAAGTATGAATTAGAAAGATGGTATAATTGATCTTAAGTTCTGGTAGTAAAACCTGCATCATGTGGAAATATTTCCATAGGACACAGTTATCTTGAAACTTCAAGACAACAGGTAATGGATACATACAGTAGGATCTGGCAATAAGTAAGTAAATTAAAACATATTTCCATAACAACAACTCTATAGCACGCATGTCCTTCATGTGCTTCTTGCATTCTAATGTTACCAGTCATTTCAATGGCACAGGTTCATATCTTACTGCTGCCACCATGTCAGTACTGAAAGGGCCACCAGTCATATCAATGGCATGGGTTCATATCCCACCGCTGCTACCATGTCAGTAATGAAAGAGTCACCAGTCATTTCAATGGCATGGGTTCATATCCCACCACTGCCACCATGTCAGCACTGAAAACGTCACCAGTCATTTCAATGGCATGGGTTCATATAACACTGCTGCCATCATGTCAGTTATGAAAGAGTCACCAGTCATTTCAATGGCATGGGTTCATATCCCACTGCTGTTCCCATGTAAGTAATGAAAGAGTCACCAGTCTTTTCGATGGCATGGGTTCATATCCCACTGCTGCCATGATGTCAGTACTGAAAGGGTCACCAGTCTTTTCAATGGCATGGGTTCATATCTGGCTGCTGTCAGCATGTCAGTAATGAAAGAGTCACCAGTCTTTTCAATGGCATGGGTTCATATCCCACCGCTGCCATCATGTCAGTAATGAAAGAGTCACCAGTCATTTCAATGGCATTGGCTCATATCCCACTGCCATCATGTCAGTAATGAAAGGGTCACCAGTCTTTTCAATGGCATGGGTTCATATCTGGCTGCTGTCAGCATGTCAGTAATGAAAGAGTCACCAGTCATTTCAATGGCATGGGTTCATATCCCACTGCTGCCATCATGTCAGTTATGAAAGAGTCACCAGTCATTTCTATGGCATGGGTTCATATCCCACTGCTGCCATCATGTCAGTTATGAAAGAGTCACCAGTCATTTCTATGGCATGGGTTCATATCCCACTGCTGCCATCATGTCAGTTATGAAAGAGTCACCAGTCATTTCAAAGGCATGGGTTCATATCCCACCGCTGCCATCATGTCAGTAATGAAAGAGTCACCAGTCATTTCAATGGCATTGGCTCATATGTCACTGCTGGCATGTTAGTAATGATAGTCACCAGGCATTCCAGTGGCCTTGGTTAATATCCCACTGCTGCTATCGTGCCAAGTAATATTTCAAAGAATCCACATTAGAAATGTATCATTGATCGAAAAGTGGCCTTTCTCGGATGTCCAGCATAGAATATTTACTAGGAAAATGCAAGGTGGGAGAACAAATCAGCTGTTAGGACCCACAAGGGCATGAAATCTGTGTTGAAAGTATTTAAGTAAATGTGCTTGCGGCTCCACACAAACCTTTGCACCTGAAGTAAAAGAACTCCTGTCATCTTAAAGACTACTTACCACGAGGCCCTAGGGAGCCTGGAGAACCTCCCCTTCCTGGTCTGCCATTGTAACCATTGAATCCTTTCCTGCCGGGTACTCCTGGGACTCCTGGGTCTCCTGGTTCTCCACGAAGGCCAAACTCTCCTGTGAAACCTCGCTCACCCTTAGCACCTAATGATCCAGGCTGACCTGAAATAATGCAATTTAAACAGTAATGATATTAATTCATTCATTCATTCATTGTCTTTAATTGTAATCAATCCATAGCCCATTGCCTATAGACATTCAGTGGTCCCTGAATACAAAATATTGGAAAGACAATATCAAGTAGTCAAAGGATTAAATTTACTACTACTATTACTACTACTTCTACAACAACTAAAAAAACTTCTACCACTAGTACTCTAAAAAAAAATCTTATAATACTAGTTATATCATTTGGGGGATAATCCAATAACATGAATTAGATTCTTTCAGAAGGCGTATCTTAGTTACACATAACAATCATTTCGCTATTCGATACTTGCCAGACAAGAAGATGGAGAATGCATATAGATTGAAGTTTCACATCTGACATGAAAAATTCGTGCAAAAATGATTGGAAATTGCATGCAAAGTAAGTTCAACACTTCACAACAGAAACAAATGCTGTAAAAACCAGAAAGGTCCAGGGATCATAATTGATAGCATCTTTGTTAGGCTCTTCTTGATGTATGATTTGGAGGGCTCACAAGTTTCTTTCTCTCTCATAGGATTGATTAAGAGGTGTTTCAAAGTTAATTTGGGAAGTGTGACATTACCTTTGCGACCTGGTCTGCCATCAGGTCCCTGAGGACCAGGAAGACCAGGGGGCCCTTGGGTGTTCTCTCCTCTTAGACCAGGTCCACCTGGAAATCCGTCTGGTCCATAATCGCCTCGATCACCTCGCTGACCTTCAAAACCAGGGAAACCAGAGATACCTGCAAAAAGAATGAAAACATGACTGCAAACACACATCTACAGAAGACATGCATGCTACAAATGTAAAGGAATTGTTTTATTATGATGTGTTCAGCGCTACTTGTGTTTGGTAAAGGTCAAATGAACTCAATCACTATAACCCTCATGTCTCTTCTCACGGTATAACTGATTGGGATATACACTATCTGGTTAAAGAGGAAGCTAACAATTCAGAAGTGAAACAACATTTATTTGAGGAAAAGTTAACCGGAACTTGCTACATAGAAACGTTAATTATGTAACAATTGTTTTTGAATGTAACACAGTAAGACACCCTAAATTAACCTATTTGAGTACTCTTCCAATTTCTTGTCCCTGTTTATTGACCCAAAACATATACCTATCCTGAAACTCCGTAACCCAAACCCAAAACATAGCTCTTTGACAAAACAAAGCTTGGAGTAGATGTTGCCAGAGCAAATGTTGGATCAATGAAAACGTGCAGTACCTGGTGTTCCTCCGAGACCCTTCTCTCCCTTTATTCCGGCATCTCCAGGAGTCCCAGGAAGTCCTTGAGGACCAGAAGTTCCAGGAAACCCGTCTGGACCAGCTTCTCCAGGAGCACCCTTCAATCCATATAGCCCAACAGGTCCAGGTCCACCCTGTGGGCCATTCTCTCCGGTCCGGCCAAAACGCCCTTCCACACCTTTGTCTCCTCGTATACCAGGGAATCCTGAAAAGACACACACACACAAAACAAACAAAGAAATTAACAAACAAGAGTACATTGTAATATTAACGACAAAGATATCGTACTAGTACCAATAAAGCTTTTTTGTTTATTGTAAGTCTAAATCCAGAAACATGGACATGCAGATGGTTTGGAAGGACCAGATCAAGTTTGTAGGTTGAATTATGCCTTGACATATTAATCATACTTGTCGAAACCCTTGGTGTTCTCTATACGAAGTCCCGCAGGCTTGGTATAGACACTTAAGTCTTTAATGCACTGATGGGAATCCTTACTACACGGTAGTAGCTAAGAAAGATAAGCTGAAAGACCTTGATCTAACAGTCAATATTGAAATGTCCAAACAAATTTTTTGTTCCGCATTAACTCGTAACATGATGCCGAAAAACAGTGGATTTTTGTTATTGTGATGAGGTTAAGTGTTATACACTACACATTTCTGTATCTTATAACACAGCTAGTGCTCAGTGAGTACATGCAACTTCGTTTTTCGCACATAGTTGTCATTTGCATGTAAAAAAGAACTCAGTGGACTTTTTACATTAGTTTAATGCTGTGCCATATCTGAACAAGCCTTTATTCATGTATGCTTTTTTACTATTATTTTTAAATAGATTATACATGACATCATTTGAACAGCATCAAGCCAATCTGATTGGCCAATTTTGAACTATTCTTAGAGGGAATGCTGGTATGACCACTTGGCAACAATTATCTGTTGATGCTCAGTGTGACTTTTTTTCACAAAAGCACAATTTACACCCTAAAACATACTTTGAAATTTGATTACAGGCATAACCTGGTAATACGCAAACTACATGTACCTTTAGGTCCAAAGGTTGAACGTCCTGCAGGACCAGTGTCTCCTATACCTCCTGGAAAGCCGGCAAATCCAGGGTCTCCACGAGGACCAGGCTCTCCATCAAAGCCTGGCAGGCCAGGACGGCCAATTGGCCCACGTGGTCCTGGTTCTCCGTAAAGTCCTGGTTGGAATCCTTTAGGTTCATCTGGACGTATCGCTATTTACCAGAATGAAGAGGAAAATGAATGTGTAAAACAAAGGAAGTACAGTTTTTTTTTACAAATAAACCTACCGAATAAGAAACCCAAAGAAATCAGAAAAATCAGAGAAGTAAAAATGAGAAAGTTATATTTTTTTTGATGGGAAAAAGCCTCTGTGAGGTAATGGCGGTCAGCTTTCCAATTTGTTCAAACACGCAAAATGACTAAAATTCCAATTTTCCAACAATGTATTACTCAGGAGGGCAAGTATGGTCAAGATGTGCAACGTGTATCCACAGCACTGAAAGGTATCAACGGAATCATCAGGTATCCTTACCAGGTGGTCCTGCACGTCCCTTGGGTCCTTCTTCACCAGGTGGTCCAGGATCTCCTGGTCTACCCCTTTCACCATTTGGACCAAATGAACGACTACCTTCTTCTCCTTGGAACCCTTGTTGTCCTTGGGGTCCGTCACGGCCGTCTGGACCCCGTGGACCTTGATCTCCTGTTTCACCCTAGGTTACATAAGACAGGGTATACAAATCAAGTCAATAGACTAATGATTAAGAAAGTTAACATCCTACCCCGTACCTACTTAAACACCTGGGTTGAGAGCAGAAATGCAGATGAAATGTCTGATTTATCCTAGGTTACAGTTGTATGGTCGCGTTACAAGATCTTTCGTAAAACAAAAACAGAAGATCATGCAACCTTTCGTACATTTGCTGTAGGTTTTCACACAGACCATTAGTAGATGAGGTGTTTACTTCATGAACATTACCCCTGATATTTCGTGAATAAGGGGGCATATGTTTACAAAAGGTAGGTTAACACGACCACCCGACCTGACGCGATGATCCAATGCTTCGGGATACAGAAATGGGGTAAAACCAATAGACACATCCAGAAAATGTCATGATAGATAGTGACGTTGGTGAATAGGTTTTTACTTCTCATACCTGTAATGAAGTTTGAGTAAAAGAAAACCTAATCAAGTTCATTCATTTACCAGGTCCGTACCCTAACTATATAGTTTTACCTCTATGTAATAATAAGAGTTAGAATTCCACAATTATGATTTGACATTCTGAACCTGTCTTTCATGCATGCACTACATTTCACTTCACTGCCTTTATTAACAGCACCTAACCAATATTATCATCTAATCCACATCAACTCTCCTTGAACACTTTCATGCATATACTTCAATGATCCTTATTAACACACTTTTTCAAAATCATTCCTTATTCGACATTCCAACAACATTTTTAGACATTACCCTCTGGAGCCTACGACCAAGTAACTACAAGCTAACCGAAGTGATCTATACACTTTCTGTACTAATGGTTATTAAAAATACCTATGTATTATCATTATCACTATATTTTTTGCAATGAAGCTGAAATTATGTAACATGAAACGTGAAAATGAAAATAAATTGAACTGAAACTGAAAACCGAAGCTTACAGTCAGATTAATCCCCACGGGCACTTTAAGATTGACGGTTCCCATGACACCAGGTACTCCTGTAGCTCCTTTCGGTCCTGCATATCCTTTGGGACCCTGCTGACCTGATAGTAATAAAATTACAAAAAAGATACAAGTTTCATTGTGTGTTAACGTGCCCCTCCCCTTTGTTCCATAGATGCAGGCTATGTTTAGTGGAAAAAACTCTGTCCCTCGGATAGGACGTTAGATGGAGGCCCCGTGTAGCGGAGAGTCACCACCTTTGCATGTTAAGAACCCACTGCACTATTTGTATAAGAGTAGGGGGAAACCCTGGTGTAGGGGTTCACCTGCACACCCCTGTATATACATCTGCAAGAATCTTCAGTATTGAAGGAGGCAGATTATCTATACGAAGAAGAAGAAGATAACCTAATACACCACTTCAAGGATAGCACATGCATATTAAATGACCCCCAAACATTCACAGATCTTTTAAACATGGAGACGTGCCATTTTGTGCATTTTTACTAATCACTGCCAAAGTGATTGAGGTGTTTCATGAATTCCTTGTCTTTGTCCTTCTGAAAAGAATACTTCCACCTGTGTATCATGGAATGTACCTTTGGTGCAAAAATAAATAATAATTACCGTTACCTAACTTTCATGAACATGTATGTTCATCATGGATTTTTTTTACTTCTGCACAAACTTCATCTGGCCATACGCAGATAGCTAGTATCCCCAAACTGGCTCATTCAATTCCAATCAAATTTTTCAATGGACATTCGCTTTACTTACAATTTATATATAACTTAACAAACATATAAGGGTAATGGTATGATACTTTTCATTATGTTCAGTAGAGTATGTACGTGGAGTAACTGCATTTCCAAGGTGCAAATTGTCATCTGTCAGCTGTAAGAGCTATATATCGTCAATGGCACTTACGGCCATCTTGGAGGCAGCCAACTAAATGCATCTCTTTCATGTGTATTACTGTGTATCTATACAAATTTCCAAATTGCAGCGGGTCCAAAATACATGTGCATGACTAATTTGCAGCCTCCCAAATTCTCTTGAATAACCCCACTTCTAAAGAAACTGCACTGGTTGCCAATTCGCCAGAGAATTACATTTAAAATATTAATGATAGTCTACAAAGCTCTTAATGGTCAAACTCCTAGTACGTTACTGAATTGTTGCATATCAAGTCTTAAACTCATGGTCGTAACCTCCGTAGTACACAAGACACATTTATGTTGCAAATACCCCCATATAAAACCAAAGTAACCCTCGGGGACCAGTCATTTCTCTGTGCTGCCCCTAGATTATGGAATAGATTACCACTAGAAATAAGGAAAGCCCCATCACTAGATAATTTTAAATCAAAACTGAAAACTCACATGTTCATATAGTATGTATAGCACAGCATTTACGAGCTCTTGCAGCGCAGTAGAATATATCCACATAGTTATTGCGCTTTACAAATGAATATTATTATTATTATTATTATTATTATAAACATGTAGTAATAAAACTTCATCTATAAACATAGTTATATATACCTCTTCTGTATGGTCCTGGCTGTCCTGGTTCTCCATTCAAACCTGGACTACCATCGGGTCCGGGTTGACCAGGTGGACCCTGTATAACATGAAATCCAGAATGTCACATCAATTTCGATTTCACGGATAGATTATTGGAATGAAGTAAAAACATGCCATTGAAAACCTTCTAAACTCTATTTTTAAATAAGACACACATTTTACGAAAATGTTCCAGAAAATACAATGATTCCTATGAAAAAATATCAACAACAAAAATGGATGTTGTATGTGTAGAAATTGTTGTTCTTCCTACTCATGTATCTGGTGCAAGTTTTAGGGTTTTTAATAAAAAATGTATTATCTGTTAAATTCAATAGTGGCTAATGGTCCAGTGAAGGTATATAACTACCTTAACTACCGAATCAGGCACCTGTTACGCGTTAAGTTCAAACTACAGCTGCGTCCTTTCTCATTTTTGTAGAATCACCGAAAAACGGCGATCACGATCACCGATCGTAAACTCACAAAAAGGTGCGTTTACAATTTGTAAACGCGTTTAAATGGGGTCAACGCACTGACCTCTAGTGGGTCTACGCATGGACCATGGGCTACGTAGCATGCGCAGTGCAGGTTTGCGAATCCAGCTGCAAGGCCGATTAAGGCCACCCAGGGAGAATTGCCTGGAGGAGCCAGAGAAGTGAGCATAAACAGTACACCGTGGAACTGCGATTACGATGAGCGTTTACGATGAGCGTTACAAATCGCTCATTCTGCCTCCAAATTTAAGCTTAAACGCACCCAAATACAGCCCAATGATGTAGCAACTTACCTGGTTTCCATTGTTTCCATCCAAGCCAATGAATCCTACTTCTCCTGGGTTTCCTTTGGATCCCTCGACTCCTGGAGCGCCATCCTGTCCAGGGGAACCTGGATCCCCAGGGTAGCCTCGGTCTCCAGGGTAGCCTTTGATTCCTGGCGGACAGAAGGGGCAGATACCTCCAAGCTCACCTACAAAGAGAAAGCATAAAACCATAATGTAAACAATCAATAATAATAATAATAATAAAAAGAATTTCCGTTTCGGTTTAATAAAATTTGGAGTGGACTATTAGGCTATTATTATTATTATTATTATTATAATAATAATACTCAGATTTTATATAGCACTTATTAGAATCACTAAGCGCTTCCAAATTTGGAGATTATTACCCCGGCTTTAGCTGTGCTGCTATTGCGGCGCTCTAGCATTTCAAAGAATTAATCCTGCCAGGTACCCATTTACATCACCTGGGTTGAGTGTGGCAAATGTAGATCAATGTCTTGCCAAAGGACATTAGTGCCGCGGCGGGTCTTGAATAGTTATCATCATCATTAATAGATCATAGTTTTCTCTTTAGATATTTCCAGTAAGAAACACGGCTCCTTACAGGTGTTAAAAAGAATTGTCATGCTATTCAAGATGGGAAATGGGTTATATCGGAAAATCTTGATGTTCCAGAAAGCAATCGTTGTCTTAAATCCGGCTTACTATTTAGAGCTGCTTGGCACATGGGTGACTGTTCTAATCGGCACTTGTGGCAAACAAAAGGTTAAGAAAAAACAGCCGTTGCTAAATGCATGACTTTGCTCATTGAACAGCACCATCTTCATCCTGGCTTGCACTACCAGCACTCACTCTGCAGGTACCAATACAATATCTTGGGATATATGAAGACTGTGCCTTTTAATACATTGCCATTCGGTTGTGGTACTCTCCCACTCCTCTCTTCATGAGATTTACAATCTAGAAAACTTCAAATCATGCCTCAAAATTTGCCTATATTGCCAAATGTAAAAGAAATGGACTTCAATGAAGGTAATTGCACCTTTGAATGTAATTTGCAAACAGAAAAGTGGGACCATAAAATGCTGTGAATCATCATTATAATCATCATTATCATTATCTTCATAGCGCCTAGAGACTTCGGTGGTAAGCTCTTTATAAGTAACGTTTTTATTATTATTATTATTATTATTATTATTATTATAATCATCCAATAACAGCAAGCAGGATGCTTCTACTCACCCTTGCTTCCTGGACGTCCATCCCTTCCTGGAGCTCCTTGAATACCCCTCATTCCTTTCAATCCTGTATTACCTGTGTCTCCTGGAAATCCTTGGAAACTCTGATTACCAGACCTAGCTGGTCCAGCAGGTCCTGAAAGTAAGATGTCATCAAATAAATAAATTTTATACTGATTCATGCCAAAGTAATGATTACCGGTAATTTAATATCTATTATTATTTGGTCTTTTTTACCCAGTATAGCCATATAAGTTGTATTCACGATCTTTCTCCAAGCCCTGCCATTATTATAACTAAAGTTTTGCCAGGTACCAATTAAAACCACCTGGGTCCAGAGGAACAATGTGGGCAATACAACTTGTCCAAAGGTGTAAGCTGACGTGAGCAAGGATTGAACCTGGGACCTCTCGTTTAAGTCACTCACCAATATACCACTGTCCTCCCACTAATACAAATATAATAGACCTATTTACTAATGTATTAGAAAATGTGAGATGTGAGTTGGTCTAGCTGCACGTTCACTCTGTAGACTCTCTGTCTTCGCCTACAAACTGGCTTAGGAGACCCAGGTTCAAAGTCACGTCTTTGGATGGTGACGTTAAAGGTCCGTCCCCAGACGTAAATAATCAGATCTGATGAGGTTTTAATTTGCTTTTGTGCGATATTGAAAGGGCAAGTCCTTTTTTTTCTTTTTATTTGTATTCTACATTCCTTCAGCTTTCCATTTATATCAAGTTGTATTTTTCATCGGATAGGGTCTTTAATCAATCAATTTAGTAACTCTTCAACAACCGATACCATAGGGTTAGGGGTCTATTAAAAAAAAGGGATGTTATTCTGCAGAAAGAAGGTACCTACCGGCTCTTCCGGGAGGTCCACGTCCTCCTTTCTGACCCATGAAACCTTGACGTCCTCTTGATCCATCCATACCAGGGGGTCCTGGTCTAGACTCCCCCATGTTACCCTTCTCTCCTCGCTCTCCAAAGTTTCCATCGTTTCCCCGTTCACCAGTCTCTCCTTGGAAGCCAGGTATACCTGAGACACACAGAAAACATAAATATTAGTCACACTTAAATCCCATCTGTACTAGTTTGGCTAGGAGGGATTAGACCACCCAGGCAGGTCACTGACAGGTGGGTATCTCATCAATTCAGCTCTCAATTAACATAAGAAAAAGAGGATCATGGGGGACCAATGGTCACCGATTAGGCATTATTTTCTGTATAGAGGGAGCAAGTATATAGCTACCAGTAGTACAGTGGAACTTTAAGAAGAAATTTTACCCTAACATTTCTGTTTCCTGTTCATACTGTCTTCTTATAACATGATAAGTACCATCATTGGTATCTATGTACTCTGTCAATAATTTCAATATAAAATTTCCTTGATGTTGATACTGTATCTACCCAACGATATCCTGGGCTGAGTGGACACACATGTACCATTCAATCCCGAAACATTGAAGATGTCTTCAAAAAGATATTTTCAAAATTCATACAACTGTGCTGGATAACAGAGTTTGTGGTGCATAGGAACGATGCACTGTTAGTTTGCACATTATTGAACTTCATTAGATAAAAACATGAATAAGATGTATATTATGGATAGAGCACTTAAATCAGGTAAGATCTACAGAATCGAATCAACTCAAAACTACCCAGTGATCCTTGTTCTTGTTCTTCTATCCCCCTCATGGTGCTCTAGTAGAGCCTCGTGGCCCAAGACCTCACATGGGTACAGGACCCATGAGAGGTCCTCTTAGGGCCTACGGTAACAAAGCTGTCCTTGATTAAATCAGATCTAATCAAATCAAAATTACCTGGACGTCCTGATTCTCCCTTCTCTCCATCTCTTCCTTCTCCTTGTGATCCAGTTGGGCCTCGTGGCCCTGGACCTCCCATGGGTCCAGGGTAACCAGGCTGTCCTTGATCACCAAAAAGTCCAATAGCTCCTGAGAAGCCTCTAGGACCTGGGTTACCGGGTGGTCCTTCATCGCCAGGAGGGCCAACTCCTACCACCTACCAAGAAACAGTTCAAAAACTTGGTTGAAACTCTCTCTACATATATCATTATAAATGTGCTGCTTAAAGGGAAATTCAGACTTAAACCACCTAGCGAGGAATAGCTAAAAGAAACCAAAAATAAATTAAAAACTTTTCTTGATTCATTATCATACCTTCTTTTATTGAGAAATTCTAGATCTTTTCTCTCTTTTGCCCCAAAATTTGCTCATACATTATGATTATATATACAATCCTCATTTTCTGATTTTGACATTTCATACCCATGTCGGACTACCATACATTTCTTTTAAGTTTCATGCAAAAATTTAATATAGGTACATGCAAAGCCTAATGAAATATATCTGCTTGTGAAATCTGCTTGAGAAATTCTAGCATATTTATTTGGCACAACAGTTAAACTATAAAAAAAATTATTTTAGGTTATCCACATATGACATTGAAAACCACAGCAATTTTTTGTTTAATGATGTGGTAAGCACAATGCACTTCGCATTTCTGTTATCATATAAAATACATCTCATTGAGAGCACTGAGGACCTTTGTTCTTCATCCTCACTTGCCATTCATCTACACACCAATAGTTATATGTGAACGAGCCTTTTACCAGTGTGATTATTCGTCAAAACTTACGATTTCCTCGATGTCAGGGGCTGGTCCGGGATCTCCATCCATTCCATAGTCTCCAGAAGGTCCCTGTAAAGCAAAAACAACAACATATGATTCAGTCTTGACTTGTACGACCATGTAATCATGATCGTTGGGATAACGAAGACGCTGGCCTACATCATCATTATTATTGTTAGCGGCTATTTTTCCATCGCTTTGGACGTTTCATTTCCCCTATATGACCCTTCTCCAAACCTTTGTGAGGCCAGATGCTCTCTTGTCTTCTCTTAGCATCTCCTTCCAGGTTTTGCAAGGTCTACCAAGGGGTTTTAAGCCTGCAACCTTGACCTTCATTGCCCTCTGAGGCCAATGGCTGCCAATGGCTTTTTCCCTCCTCACCACATGCCCATACCACCTCAGTCTACACATTATCATCTCCAGTGAGATTTTAGTCAGCCCGAATGATCTTCATCTTTTTTTCTGTCTTGTAGGGAGGTCATGCACATCCATCTTATTATCCTCTTCCTCCTACAATTCTTCTATTATTCCAGCATTCTCCAAGCTTCTCAACAGTACTGACAGAATTCAAGGCGTTATTTCCTACATGGTGCCCATTTACTACCGATTGAGAATGGCAAATGTGGCAATGGTCCTGCTGCTGCATTGGAATCAAACCATTTGATCTCATGCCTGGTAACTCATCCACAATACTGAGACACTTTTGAAGTAAACATACGTAGCAATGTCACAAAAGAATAGAGTGTAGTCATGATCATTTTTTAAATTAACCAACTTCTTCAAAGAACGTGCCATTTGCTTGAATTCTAAGATTTCTGTATGCAGCATGAACAACGAGAGAATTACTAAGCCATCCTCACCATCATCACCATCATCATTACCACCACCACCACCATCATCATTACCACCACCATCACCATCTTCATCATCATCTTGATCATCACCATCATCATCATCATCATCATCATCATCATCATCACCATTATCATCATCATCATCATTATCACCATCATCATCATCATTATCATCCACATCATCATCACCATCATCATTACCATTGTCATCATCATCATCATCATCATCATTACCACCATCATCATCATCATCATCATTATAATCCACATCATCATCACCATCATTACCATTGTTATCATCATCATAATCATCATTATCTTTATCATAAAAGAGAAGATTTCTTACCTTGTAGCCATCATATCCTGGTCTTCCTTGAGGGCCATCTCTTCCTTTTTCTCCATTCATGCCTAGAAGGCCAGGAATACCAGGATTACCAGGAAAACCCTGCAAAGATAGGCAAAAATATGTATTGTTATCATCATTGTTATTATTGTCGCTACAGTTGTCATTGTCAATATCATCCTCATATCACTTTGAATTTTAACTGTGAATTTACATTTCTAATACATCATCACCGTTATCGTAAAAACCTCTTTCATCACCATTATCCTCAACATCAGTATCACAACCATCAAACTTATCAAAATCTGTGACATGTATTATCATCATCATCTTCAATAGCATCATCAGTATCATTATCATTATCATCATTATCACCATCATCACCACCACCATTATCATTATCTTTATCATTGTCATCATCACCATTATCATCATCACTATCATTATCTTTATTCTGATCATTATCACCATCATCATCACCAACATCATCATCATCATCATCATCATCATCATCATCATCATCATCATCATCATCATCATCATCATCATCATCATCATCCTCATCATAGGTGTTGTGGAAGCCCTGTAGATAAACTCACTCTTTCTCCACTGTAACCTGGCAATCCCTTTTCTCCATAGTCACCATATGATCCTAAATCACCCTGCAAATCAAATGAAAGAGAAATACATAATATCACAATGTTTGATCTGCAATTCTAGTCACCTTTATGTTTCTGAATGGCTCCATGTTAGATCCCAGTCATACACACATTGGGGAATTAGAGACACCCATGTATCCCAGAGAATAGCTTCAAGCTTCAAAGACTTATCCCTACAAGAATATATCTTGTACCCAAAGAAGGTGTTATTATAATATTATTTTCAGTTTTACCTGTTTGATGGTAAACCTAGGGAATTAAGGTGAAAATATTGGGGAATAGTTGTGTTTTCTTAAAGTATACAAATCATCACAATTAATCACCATCTTTATCATTTTGCTACGGGAGGTGATTGCATGGTGTTCTTCCAGTTTCAAAGACACTGGTCTCATCGGCTTTACTTACCACTTCTCCTGTAGCACCCTTCATTCCATCCATTCCTCTTGGTCCATATTCACCCTGTCAAGAAAAACAACAATCCAAATAATTGTACCACCACTGAATAAAGAGTAACGATGATGATACAGTCAAACCTGCTTTAGTGACCATCTGTCTACAAAGACCACATTTTTGGTTTCCCTTGAAAATAGTTTCTCATTGAAACATGTACTAAAGGAACCTGCCTACAAAGACCCCTTTTTGTGTTTCCCTTGAGCAGTCGCTATAGACAGGTTTGACTGTAGTAACATTCCATTCTTGTTCACTATATATTTAATTATGATATGTCATATGCAATTCTGCAGAACATTGGATAATCACTTCCTGCAATGTCATGGGTAGCAGATCCAACCTAAGAGCACAGCTAGATGTTCTCTTGTAGTTTTGGCTTCAATAAATCCATTCTTTTTTCTTTCTCAAACAGAGCCAGGTACAAACATTGTGAAACTTGTATCCATTGAAACAACAAGAATATCTAGGAAATTTGATACTGAAACAAAGTTTTATAACTCAAATGTGACTATGACAATGTCTTTTTAGCATGGGAGAGCCTCAATTAACATCCTAACAGAGAGACAGGGTGTTTTCCACTGTAACCTTGCAAGCTTCAATGCTACCTTACGATGCTGGCTTCAGTCATCTGCCTGAGCTGGATTGAAACTCACGATCTCTCCTGAGACCAGAAGAAACAATTCCAACTGAGCAAGCTCCCCTTCCAGTATATCTTGGACCAATTATTTGCCATAAACTTTTAAAAGTTGAAAAATGTGATACAAATAGGTAATGTACACTTTCAAGGGGCTCTACTTATTTCAATTAACCCAATAGCAACTAAACCGCTCCTCCTTTTACTCACTGAACCGCCAAAAACCGCCTGTCTGTTTCAGGGTCTTTAGGGTCTATACATGCGTAATCCTTACGATGTCCACAGTAGGATTTTGCATAGAAAAATAGCGCATGTTTCATATTGTTCAGAAAAATGTCAAAATGAGAGCAATATTGCAACATCTTCCAGTGAGTAATAGGCCATTTTAAAAAAACACTCTAGTTGCTAATGGGTTAACATGCCATTACTACGGTCTGTACCTTGTATCCTTTTGCTCCTTTTGCTCCATCTAGGGTGTTATCATCTGGAGTTTTGTCCACATATCTTGGACCAGCTGGGCCTGGGTCTCCTTGATCTCCCTGGGGAAATAGAATTAGAAAGAATGATTTTTCTTCTAAAGAACTCTTCTCTTTCTTTCTTTATTTCTCTCTCTCTCTCTCTCTCTCTCTCTGTCTTGCTCACTCACTCACTCTTTCAATCTCTTCATCTCAATCTCTCTTGCTTTCTCTTTCATTCTGTATATATATATATATATATATATATATATATATATATATATATATCTCTCTCTCTCCCTCCCTCCTCCTCCCTCCCCCTCTCTCCCCCTCTCTCTCTTTATCCACCTCTTTCTTTTGCTCCTTTCAATCAGTCAAGAGTGTTATCATCCTAGAGTTTGCCTAAGTATATACTTAATGTTGGATAGTTTCTGCGCTCTATAAATGTATTATGATTATTATTATTATTATTATTATCCACCACCAGTAGAACTTTAGTCTCCTTGTTAAAATTAACAAGATAGAATGAAGAATGGACTTTCTTTTGTCCAACCTCTCTCTCTCTCTATTAAAATGCATGTTATACCAACATTAATCATTAAACATTAATTCCGAAATGGAATTGCTTAAATAAAACATTCTTTCAACATTTCTGGTCCATTGTTTTATTAAATATTTTCCTTTCATTCATTTAGACTGAAAGTTGAAGTTTGTTGTTCCATCTTGATCCGTCAGAATGACAGTTAAATGTATGGATATTTGCAGACAAAGTTGTTTTACAGACAAACATAGGTAATCTCTAACCCTACCACACAGGGGGGTGTTTCACAAAGCCTTTTTTCAATGAAAAATGACAAAAAATCAGTGACAAATCTGCTGATAACCAATCAGAAGCAAGGATTTCAGTAGCTTATAACAAAAACTGTCATTTGTCACTGATGACAAATTTTGTGAAACACCCCCCAGATGTACAGCAGCCATGCAGACGTACCTTTTCTCCCCTAGGTAGAACAGTGGGTCGTTCAGCAGGTGTTCCTGATTCTCCTGGATCTCCACCCATACCCTAGAAATGATAACAAAATAATATATTGTTTGAATATGGGATGCTCTTCAAATGAAGGAGAGCTGCAAAATATATTTTCCTTAAGAATAGGTATAGATATTTGTTCTCCCTGAAATATTTAAAAAAATAGCTTGATTGGGAAGTTAAGTCTTGTGGGAGATATCCCTAGTCAAAATAAAATGGTCAAAAAATAGCTGAAAAAACCTCACAGAAAATATGTTGTTTACTATTTTCAAATCTGATTGTATTATTCCAAATCCCTAGCCTAAAAATATGTTTTTGTCTCTTTTCTATTTGTTTCCATAGTCAAATGAAAGAAAAATAGTCTTATCTAGGAAATACCATAAAAAATGGAGAAAATAGCAAAAAGGTATTTTAGCATATGAAAAACTACCATGGAGATCATAACCAATTCAGCAATGATTAAACTACTTTAATCCACTGATAAAGGGAAATGAGAGATTCCTTTATCCATTAATCCTATGGGAATGGGTGAACTCAGAAGTCTACAGGTTGTTCAGTCAAAATCCATTTTTGAAAGATCATTTATGATGATTAATGTACGTTGTTCAAAAATTTGGTGACAATGAAGTTGCAAAGAAAGTTTGAAAGTACTTACCTGTCGTCCTTTAGGTCCTCTATCTCCTTTGGATCCCCCGTTCCCTATGAAGCCATCAAAGCCCTGTGATCGATCAGAAGAGAGAACAAATTGGTGATTATTATTATTATCAATCCTATGAAAGGGAGACTTTGTTAAAGATAAAGACCACTTATGGTCATTCGATTGCATTGTGAAAGAAACGTTGAAGAATCGATCAGAAAAGGTTGATCATCTAGCATATAAGTATTGGTGTGTACTGCAAGGTTCTGGAATCATCAAAATGATAAGAAATTTGGCCCAGACTTCGTAAAGTTACAAGCACTGTACACAGAAAGATGTATATGGGACTATGCACATATCTGCACAAAGGTGCGTTTATCTCTCACAGGCCAATAGATAAACTAATTTACCAAATATATCAATTAGTAGGCGGTTTCCCGGCAAAATTTGTATCATCATGTATTAGTCAAAACATATTCTTTCACTTGATTGGTAATAAGAGCTTCCATTTAACTTTTTGAAATTGGAGCATTTCCAATACTGGTCTTTACCTTTAACACTCAATGGAGAAAAGAATACATATTATAGGTGAGTTTAATATGCCATAAACATAGATGATAATAAAGTAACATTTTTTCAGTGCTTAGTAATAATCTTTCTTTTATTGCCCCAACTAAATTATGATATGCTTAAATTTTTTGTATGCTTAGGGCTAGGCTTTATATTTTGTATCCTAAAATGCAAATAAGTTTCATTTTTTATGTCATATTTCAAATGTTATCAGGTGGGCTGTATAACGTACAGACCACCTTATAATTTCGTTAGAATTGCCTTTATTTATTTATTATTTATTATTTATTATTTATATATTTTTCTTATTTCTAACCACTTTTTTGTTGGCAAGATAACTTGGAAATGGCTCAATCAAATAATTTGAAATTTGGCACACATATGTATAGGCATATGTACAAAGCACAATAACGTTTTCAACATTGACCTTCACTGATGACGTCATCTAGGCGCCATTTTGTAAAATTTTACGAAAATCAACTCATGACCATATCTTCATAACCAAAGGTTATTTCATATTCATATTTATCATGATCAAGGTCAATATCCGTCCGGTCAATTGCAGGTCAAAAAACGCGCGCGTGCGCGTACCTCCGCGCGTCAATACGCGCGCAAAATATTAAAATGCTCAAAATCGTCTCAAAATCATTTTGCATACGTTTTAGGCCATTCTAAGCATTTTTTTAAAAATCGCGCACACGCGCATGCGCGCGCGTTTTCGCGCGTAAAACTATTAGACACCATAGAATCGCCATTTTTTTTCTTTCATAATATTCCACATATTCTTACAAACAAATTGATACCATGTTTGTCTCTTTATGACTATAAATAATTGAATAATCGACCGTTTAACATAAATTTCAATGCGCGCGAGCTCTTGTAATACATAGCATATATGGGCAAAAACATGCCTATGCAAAATCCATTATAGCTCTTTAGGATGCAAGGTGACCCCAATTTTTTTTTCATATTTTGAGCGAGTATGAATCAGAGATATGATTTCATGTCTCATTTGACCCTCAATTAACTCATGACGTCATCATAATGGCCTCCGAACTCAAAATTTCAATTTGCCTATTATGACGTCAGCATTTTTTTGGAAAATTGATTGTATCTTTCTAAAAATTGATTAATTTTCTTTAAAATTTTGATATGTTCTAGCTGAGACAATTCTCTACAAATCCAGTTGTCACAATTTTTCATTTTGCCAAAGGCATCATGGCGTATTTTTGCGATTAAAGGAGGCAAGCTAATTTTTTCACATTTTGCGTGTATTCTCTATGGGACATGACTTTTTCTCAAAACTTGATTCTACATTCCCGTCTTTCGCGAGCAATATCTACGTCGTTTTAGCTTCATTTACGCTGAACTCCGAATATGTTGTAGCTGAGACAAAAAGCTATTTCAAATGTACCCTTTATTTTGTCTCAATTTTTTGTTGGATCAGCCCACCTATACTTGTTCCAAACAAGTATTACAAATCTAGTTGTATATTCATTCTATACTAGCATTTTCATGTTTTGATTGAGTTGTGAAAATTAAATTATTTTAATTGATTGAATTGAATACTGGAATGGTCTCGAAGTGTCATAGTGGTGACAGTGCATGTAGACTAGGCATCATCTGACCCGACACAAGAGGGCTGCCTTCTGGGAGCTTTGTCAGCATGCATTCAGGCATTCAGGCATTCAGGACCACAGCAGAAGCGTACAGTACTCCTGACTTTCAGTCCCAGGGCCACTATCACTAACTAAATAATCCATCACTGCTTATCTCAACTGCCAGACCATCTACCTTTCCAACTTTCTCAAACAAAGCATTATCTTATCTGATGGTTCTGTCTGCTGTAGATAAGTAGATCACTCCCATTCCCATGTCTGCAATACTAAGAAGGGTTATGTAATGTCGGTTTTGCATACATCACATGTCTGGAAAACTTTCTGTATCAGTGTTTACGCAACTGCACCTCATTACGCTCTCTAACATGAACATTTTTTACAATTAAAGGGGAAGTCTACCACGAGCTGAACAATTACCATAAGCAATGGTCTAAATTTACTTTGTTTTTACTGAATACAATAAAATTTAAATTTCACATACATTTTTACACGGATATAAACAAACCAATGAGAGTTTGTGATATATACAACAAAGGACCAAAAAGTTACAAAGTTGTGAAGTCATCATAAATAAAAAGGGAGTGTTCACACTTACAGGTCGACCGTCTTGTCCGGGTACCCCATCTTCACCAACTTCACCTCTAGGTGATGGTGTGAACAGACCCGGGGTGCCAGGTCGTCCTTTGAAACCATCGGGACCCTGAAAATCAACGAAACAGAATTATTAATAGTTAATTTTCTTTTATAAAGTACCTTGCTCGGTACAAGGTAACTAACAGATCAAAGTGCTAGACCTACACATATCTTTGGTTTCTACATGTATTATGATTCTAGCTGCACTTGGAGGTACATGTACTCTCCCCTCCCTTGGAAACAGACATGAGCACTATTACATAACTAAATATGATGTGAATATCATAATCATCTTCTATTTATACAGAATTAAACAAACTTTGAGAAAGACATCAGATTCGGTGGCAGGGAAATAATGATTTACCTGTTCAACTGATAAAAGTGATTTGAGTGATGAAAACATTCCAACGGCTCTTCAAATAGCATAATAAAATAACTATAATTTTCATTTACTATATTAATGATCCCTTTAGAATTTGCCACCATATATCTAATCAAATTCTGAGATACATATGTACATGGCCATATTCAAAGGACGTTGCATATCCCATATGTTTATATTTGCAGATTGGTTTACAACCAAGGAAACATTGCATAAATATATGGAAGAGCTCCCCCTGTAGTTATGGCAAGGAGATGCTGCCCAATTGGCTTATAGTAATATGCCCGGGAAAAGTCATTCACAGATCTAAATCAAATCAAAGAAAATTAGGACAGCCACAAAGACAACAAATATTAAAAGAGTTGACAAATATCATATTTGATATATCTATCACTTCCTACCTCTGAAATATCTCTAAGACTTAATTAGGTCCAGACAGCTAGGACCTGGTCTACTTACTTTATCTCCTGGGGGTCCAATTAGTCCTGGACCTTGTGGACCTGGTACTCCCTAAATAAAGAGAAATGAAGGGAAAAAAGTAAAATACATGTATGTGAATAATTGAAATACAAGAGCAGAACAAGTGTGAGCTATAAAGCTTTGAAGTAACAATGCGAGGGGAAATGTGTAATAAATATGCGAACTAAAATGTGTACTTATAAACGAAGTTCAAATATACATATATATCCTATGAACTCCTATATTATTACAATTTGTCTCCCAAGAAACAGATACATGATTTCAATTTATTTGTTTACTTGAAGCAAAATTTCTCTGATAGTATAGTTGGCATACTTTTATAGGTACACAGACTTACATATGTATATAGTTTTTCATTAACGAGAGTGCACATTTGTATCATCTAGGGTACATATCATAATACATAACAAATGACTTCACTGTGTAAAAATATCGTACAATAAAATGGAACAGATTTGACGAATAACTTCAATCTATTGGTTTACATGTAGATCTACTAGGAGTATATCTCTACACTGGCTTCTGCCTAAATGTAATTGAGAAGCTAAACATCGAGTGTACAGATGTATGTAGAGGTACATATCACAGTATAGATAACAAATGCCTTCATTGATGTAGATTACAGGTGGAGCTATGTCATCAGGGATAGACTAACCATGCGCTGGGAAGATTGATTGTATTACCCCGGTGTGCATGCTTTGAAGTTAAAGGTAATGGAGACACCCCGTTTGAATTATGTCTACTTTTTTTCCTTAATTATTACAGCAGTAGGTCCATGATTACAGTGAAGGGTATGTTTTGGATTTAAAGGGAAGGGTATCGCCCCCTTTGAACTATATCAACCTTTTTTTTTTTTGGTGTTACAGCAAAGGGTATGCTTTGGATTTAAAGGGAAGGGTATCGCTCCCTTTGAACTATATCAACCTTTTTTTTTGTATTACAGTGAAGGGTATGCTTTGGATTTAAAGGGAAGGGTGTCGCCCCCTTTGAACTATATCAACCTTTTTTTTGTATTACAGTGAAGGGTATGCTTTGGATTAAAAGGGAAGGGTATCGCCCCCTTTGAACTATATCAACCTTCTTTTTTTTTGGTGTTACAGTAAAGGGTATGCTTTGGATTTAAAGGGAAGGGTGTCGCCCCCTTTGAACTATATCAACCTTTTTTTTGTGTGTTACAGTAAAGGGTATGCTTTGGATTTAAAGGTAAGGGTGTCGCTCCCTTTGAACTATATCAACTTTTTTTTTTGCATTACAGTGAAGGGTATGCTTCAATTAAAAAAAAGGGTGCCGCCCCCTTTGAACGATATCATCCTTTACTTTTTATTTTTTTAGTATTACAGTGAAGGGTATGCTTCGATTAAAAGTAATATTGCCGCCCCCTTTGAACAATATTAGCCTTTTTTGTGGTGTTACAGTAAAGGGTATGCTTTGGTTTCTAAGGGGTAATATTGATGCCCCTTTGAACTATAAAACCTTTTTTTTTGGGGGGGGGGGTATAACAGTGAAGGGTATGCTGTGGATTTAAAGGTAAGGGCGCCTTCCCTTTTGATTCTTAGTCTAGACCTAACAAAATTGAATTTTTTGCTTAGGGCTACTACATACAGACGGGAAAACATTCAATCTGGTTCTCCTTCCCAAAACAGTTAGAGTAGAGCCCTGTTTAACATAATGCAGTTTAAATAAGAATGATATGGCAGTTACAGCCTCTGTTTTTTAATCTATAAAAACGAAGGCTAAGGATGAAAGTACATTAGTCCCGTAACATTAATGACACAGCTACAGAACATGACTTGGGATAGACACAAGAGGTTACTGCCCTTGCTTTAAAAGTCATAGTACATAGCATGTATCCTTGTGGCATTACAAGGCCTGCAAAATATGCCCCTGACTGTATGTCTATATAAATACAGCGCGGTTGACTGGGGGAAGGGGCCCAATTAGATAGCATGCCTGGAGTATGAGGTCATCCTATCAACATGTAATTAATGAGTGTCATATGTTTTTTACGCTGTAAACTTTGTTGTTGCATTTGTGCAGTCAACTTCACATTGGTGTGAGGACCAAACGATTGTAGGAAGTTGGGGGAGGGGCATGGGGTGGTGGGGGTCCAGCCATTGGATGGGGGGGGGGGGGCAACTTGGATTGCATGCTTGTGGGATGTAAATTCACAGGGCCACTAAATAAGTAAAGGGTGCAAGAGGGGGTCATATTTTCTTCTTTTCACATTCACATCTCATGTCCCCTCCCCTCTCCTTTAATGTTTTTGTTTTTTGAGGGCACTTGACCCTCCCCCCCCCCCCCCCTCCCCCCTGCTTAACTATTGGTGTTTGGGTAGAAGGTGAAAATGAAATAACCTAATTAGCATAGACGTGCCATCACTGACTAGCACATGTGTATCATCTTGTTTTACGGGGAGGTGGGAATGAGACTAGGAAGTCTGGTTAAAAATGTGATAATTAGGAATTCACTCTTGCTTTAATTTTGAGCACATGCTAATAATGTGATTCACCTGTAACCATCTGTAGGATGTTTCATGCACTTCAATTTCCTTTGACATTTACGTTTTATCGATCAAACTTTATTGATCAATAAAGCTGTGAGAAAATATGAACTGTATCTGTCGGGATTGAGTCTTTTTTGTCAGGATCATCTCATGGGGAGGGGTTGCCATTTGTGGCTATTGTCATTTTGACATTTGCACTCAATTATCTTTTTTCACTTTAATTTTTAACTTTGTTATCATTTGTTTTAAAAAATTAAGAATGTTCCTACTTAATTTTTAATTTGAAAGTTGAAGAAAGAGAAATTACGTAATGGCTGACTAAAATCCTTTATCCTAATTTAAGAGCAATCATTAAAAAAAAACAAGGGAAACGCTCTCGGCTGTCTCGCCTGCATAACGCAATTCAATATGATAAACCAGAACGTCAATGACGTAGCGCTTATCCGCATCTCGCTACAACAAATATCGTAAATTTTTATGTGGTACACTTTTGAACTGGTCAAAAAATAAAAATTTGATGCCCTGGAAGGGACATAATTTCATTTCATTTGCATAAAGTACCATAAATAATCAATGGAGCAAAATCTCAAAATTTTGTGTAGAAGTTTAGTGTTCCAAATTTCCCTCTACCAGATAAGGCAAACCAAATCAAAATCGGTCAAGAAATGAGGGAGAAGAAGCAATTTTTGTAATGAATTTGCATAAATTACCATAATTAATCAATGGAGCAAAATCTTAAAATTCTGTGTAGAAGTTTAGTGTTCCAAATTTAGCTCTACCAGATAAGGCAAACCAAATCAAAATCGGTCAAGAAATGAGGGAGAAGAAGCAATTTTTGTTATTATTGGAATAAATTTGCATAAATTACCATAATTAACTAATGGAGAACAATTTCAAAATTCTGTGTAGATGTTTAGTGTACGAAAGTTAGCTCTACCAGATAAAGCAAACCCAATCAAAATCGGTCAAGAAATGAAGGAGAAGAAGCATTTTTTGGGATTTCGAATAAATTTTCATAAATTAGCATAGATAATGAATTTCACGATTCTGTGTAGAAGTTTTAAATCCCCCTCCTATCCCTATCATATGAAACAATCAGAATCAAAATCGGTTGAAAAATAACGAAGAAGAAGCATTTTGAAAATCTTGATGTTGCTGCCACAACAAAGTCTCAGTTTGTTGACCTTAAATGACCTTTGACCTTAACTTAGTGACCTGAAATTCCTGAAATTCTACTCACATGATTGGGGAGACTTAATAACCCTTTAGTCCAAGTTTTATTGACTAAGAACTTATACTTTCAAAATTATATCAAAAATTCAAAAACTTAACCTCAGGTTAAGTTTTCGATGATGATGCTACAACATAGTCCAAGTCTGTTCACCTGAAATGACCTTTGACCTTGACTTTGTGATCTGAAATTCTACTCACATGATTGGGGAAACTTGATTTAAAAATTATATCAAAAATTCAAAAACTTAACCTTAGGTTAAGTTTTTGATGTTGACGCCGTCGCCGTCACCGGAAATGCGGCGCCTATGTCTCGCTTTTTGCTACGCAGGCGAGACAAAAATAAAAGTAGACCTACATGTATGTTATGTAATGTAATGGGTGTTACAGTTGATTGGTGATTGAATGCCACCTCATGAAGATTTAAAGAGTGCAGGTGAAACATATAGAGCTTGCATGAAAGATACATATCAGCTATTGTTCTGCTAGCACCTGTTGAAAAGAAAATTGCAACCCTTTACTATCCCACCCCCCCTCTTTTTTGATAGTGTGGATAAGAGTTAATGAAGGTTTACAGGGCCAAACTTTTGACCTTTATGCAAAGTAATATATAAGCAGACATGTCTCATTTAGATGACCAACAAAGTCAAAGGGAAATAGAGAGGCACTTTCCTGATGAGTATTGCATAATCATTTGGGGGGGAATCACCAGAAAGGAAAGAGGAAAAGGAAATAGGATACGGTAATTAGGGCAAGTCGTTATATAACCCCAATTAATACCTTGTTACTCTTTCTCATCTTACTGACTTGATCTGGTTTAGAATTGAACTCTGAATCAGATAACAATTACTTGTATCTTTGCAACAACTTGTAAAGATCGAGGCCCTTTTTTTGAAAACCAACAGTAAAGAGCTTACACATTATATTAATTACATTAATCTTCCAAAAATACATTGTCATGAGGCCATATCATTTATCAACAAATTACCTTTTTTATGGTAGATCTTTTATCTACAAAGTAAAAGACATGAGTTAAAGCCCATTAGTATCCCATATCCCATCCTTTCCCTCCCATATCAAACTACATTTAAAAAAATGCCAACAATGAAATAAGATGGGCTACATGAACATCTCATTAGTTTTTATACAAAGTCATACAGGTTTCTACACATAGGGGCTGAAGCACCTAAACTGGCAAACATCCATTTCTGCTACTCCCTATTGAACTGAAACCGTATATATAGCTTCTGAACTTCAAACCAATGAAAATATGAGGTCTAGCGCCATCTATATGGACATGTGAGGCATTCCCATTCTATAATACTGAAAATATTGTGTAACTGGAAAAGAGTCTTCTATGTAATTGTCAGAGATCAAGATTATCAAGGACTGACATTAAACGGTATATTTGTAAAGCGCTTAGAGACATTTGTATTAAGCACTATATAAAAATTAAATAATATTATTATAATTATTATTATTATTATATACTGTTTTTAGATAGCGTAGCGCTTTGACGTAAATGATGTTTTAGTTGGATTCTATTTGGTCAAAAGGACAAGGACGACCCTTACCTGACTCCCGTTGCATCCTGGGATACCTGGAGTACCTTGAACACCGTGCGGGCCTGGCACACCAGTGTATCCTTTATGGCCTGAAAAACCTGGTATACCTGATCGACCCTGAAGTCAAGAAGAAAATAAAATGTTTGGTTCAGTTACTTCGGTTCTTTGTCAGACACTTATATGAAAGAAACAGGAACATCAAAAGATAAAACAATAATATATTTACAGAAAGAAAACTTTAACAATAAATTTATAATATTAGAAGATTAAGGAGAAAACAATATGAGTCATATCGAATTCTAACTTTCATCTGGGTAGTGTTTGATTCACGTATCTGTAAACAAATAATTTAAAGAAGGATGAGAAAGAAAGAGAGAGAGAGAGAGAGCACATGGAAGTACATGTAGAACATACATAATTTACTCAAATTGCCCCAAAATTGATAAGTTTTTACTTCTATGTTACCTCGATCACTGGATTCACAGAAAATCATTATACAGAATATCATTATACATATGGTATTTAAAACAAATTTGCAATTAAAAACTTTATTCTCTAGTCTTGTCTAAAAGGTGTGGAAGATCATACCTTCACACATATTCATGTCACAAAATCAAAAACATCACAAGGCTTTAGATTTGTGTCACTCCCATGCTAATTTTAAAGGAAATTATTTATGTAACTCTGTTTACAGGCTTAATAACTTGCGTAACAAATTACGATCTAGGGACTCTTTCAGTTAATTGAATTAACAAAAGAAGAACAATGGATTTCTGGAATCGTAAAGTATTTCACTTTCACTGTGCCTTTTGAATGTGAATACAGTTTAGTTTAGGACTGATAAAAATGATGTAGAATTAAAATAAAATAATCCTGAAATATAACTCAATAACTGCTATCTAATGAAGATGTAAGCATTTGTGTCTAAAATATTTGAAGCAATAAAGTTATTTCTTAGCTTCATCTTTCAATATTATTCATGAGCAAAAAAAATGAGAATGATTTCAGATGAAAGATATGAAATCAAAACCAATTTGTCCCCCTCCCCCTTCCCCCCTCCCCCCCCCCCAAAAAAAAAAATATATATATATATATATGATATCATATGATAGATTATAGCTTAATTTGTAGATCACGATATGATGCTAACATTTGTAATGATCTCCTTCTACATACTGCACGTGCACAGAGATTTATTCAGTCCAATATCAAAATCTAAGATAATAGGTACCAGGCCAGTCCCATTACGGAGCTGGGAGCTATGTTGTTTTGAGGCATTTAAATTCGGAAAAGAAAAACACAAAATATTTAGATCCAAAACAATCTCAGTGGAAAGAATTAACAGATTTCATGTCTTTCCTGTGTATGCTATGCTTGATATCATCTGCTCTAGAGTTAGAAGGGCATTAACTCATATAACATAATACAGAGTTAACACCCTTCTGGCTCTCAAAAGACGACATCCTCTTTGGTCTGAGTTGACTGTACTTACCAGATCTCCTTTGGGTCCCCTAGAACCTGATTCCCCAGGGAAGCCTCCATCTCCCTTTAGACCTGGAACTCCTTGTTCCCCGTCCGCACCTGGTGGGCCTGGTGTTCCCTTGTTCCCGACGAAGCCTGGTGGGCCCTGGATGAGAGAAAGATCAAAATAATCACGTTTAGTTAGCTTGTGGGAGAGGGATGATCTTTTTTTTTTAATGTACCATTCTCTGCTGAGAGCCAAAAGGACATCATCTTATAATGCCTTGCGCCCTCTATATAACAACCAAAGCCTAATCGGTGACCATTGGTCCCCCATGATCCTCTTTTTCTTATGTTAACTGAGAGCTGAGTTGATGAGATAACCACCTGTCCAGTGACCTTGCAGAGCACTCTAATCCCTCCTGTAAACTATGGCAGATAAGCTCTGAACAGACACAAAAAATGTTGATCCTGGGGGGGTGTTTCACAAAGACTAAGATCAACTTTAAGTTGGACTTAACTATAGCAGGCTATTCATGCCACTGGTTGCTCTCACAATGACGATCTTTAGATTATATTTTTTCGTTCGATAATGAATTATCAAAAAATGTAAACCTGTAGATTTGAGACCATCATGATTTGTACATTCCTTGAGAGACCAATGCCAATAAATGGTGAGAGCAAACAGTGGCATGAACAGCCTGCCATAGTTAAATTTAACTTTAAGTCAATTTTAATCTCTTTGTGAAACAATCCTCTGGTGCTGTATATGAAAGTTTAACCTTCCAAAAGAACAGCCAGGAGCAAAAACATGTCAAATTATGGTTAACCAATAATTGTCATTTTAAAGGAAAATGTATTCATGTGTTGTAAAATTTGATGACCTGGCAAGGGTAAGAAGGGGATATTAATTTCTTTTGAAAAATAGATTTGATAAGACAAGACTTATTGATTACAATAAATTGCAGCAATGAGCCTATAAACATTGATTATTGATGTTTATTGATGGAATCCTGAACTCCTTTACCAGTACTTTTGAAATCTAAACTCTTTAAAGAGTTTATTGATGATGACTGGAGATTATTATACTTCAGGGTATACTGAGTTCCTTCCTCATGATTTACTTTAATGGTTGACCAAAGAGATTACCAACACCACATATCTTTTAAAGGTACAATGTCCCGTTTGCAGGCCCAAAAAATGAAAAAGTTAAATTCAAACTGCATTTGCAAAATAATATTAATTTAGAACTTCCCTAAAAAAGGTGGGGCTTGAAAATGTCTTCAAGTGGGAAAACAACGACTATTAGTTGTCAAATCGACTTTAGGGCTATAGAGCCCAAAACTAATAGCCTTGATTTTCAGACAATTGTACCGAATGGTCATACGTTTTATGCTGCGCAAAGATACGATCAGTTTAATCTTGGCCATCACAAGAAGTGGGTTATTGATGTAGACAAATGCTCATGTACCCTTTACAACTCTTTTCATGTATGTTATTACCAAAGAAGAAAAAAGCCAGTCAGTCACTCAATAGTGTCTGACAGTGAGGTCTAAGCAAGTAAATGGCTTTCCTTGCATAATTTGAATATGAGGACACTGCTAACGTTTAAATTTCACAGAAAGGATATACATGACATATTCATAATTCCTGCAAAGTTCTACAGAATTTGAGGTTGGCTGCAAAAGGGACATAGTACCTTTAAGGAAGCAGGAAGTTTAACCAGATAACCACAATTATACAATGGTAAGCCCAATGTATACAATAAACCTGGCTATTATATCATATCCTGTTTAGCACTGTTATAAGATTCATGTGATAGAGAATTTGTATGAGTGCTATGGGACTAATGAGACTTGTGATAAGTTTCATGTAAACTATTGAACGTTGACAAAAATGCTCTCTATTTCGAAAGTTTGCTAACATCGTAAATATTTTAAGCCTTTCTCATACTAATCTGTTTTGAATCTATATAACACTAGTTCAGCCAATTCATTGAAGTTTTATAGGAAATTTGAACAATACAAAACATATTTTCTTATACACAAGTAAGTGTTATGCAAGGATTTTGATATATTGAAGAACATAAATGTAAGCACCATAAATGCTGAGAGTCTCAGACACATGTATTTTTAAAATCCTTTTTTATGACCCACATTAACAATACATCAAGAACAAGCAGAGTAAGCTGGATTGTTGTTCATGGGTTAGACTAATATTACCAAGGACCTTAAACTATTTATGCTGCTCTGGTCTATAATCACAACAAAAAATACATCTGAAGGTCTCAAACAAATTCTCAAAGTACCACATGCTCTAGACATATCTCTCTTGGAAGCCAGAAGGGCATTAACCCTGCGTTCAGCCTATCAGCATTCATCGTTTTACTATAGGATAAGTAATCAAAACTTTCCTGGTCTTATTGTCTATAAAGAAACGTTGTATAACAAAACGTCGTAAAGCGAAATTCCTGTTTGAGTATCACTCAAATTGAATGAAAACTTTAAAAAAAATCTGGTTCCCGCTCTTGTTTGAACATCGCTCTTGTTTGAACATCATGTTATACAAAAAATCATAAAACTAGGCAGGGCTTATCATAAACTTGCACTAATGATGGCAAGGACAATATATATATATATATATATTTTTTTTTTTTTTGGGGGGGGGGGGGGGCTTCTGTTGAGCTCGCTTGCATGAAAATAACATTCTTTACTTTGTTTTCATAGAACTCTATGCAACATTTTGGTGGTTCTTTTATGACTTTCAGGGGCTATTTCGTCCCCAGCCCTGTGTATTTTTTCTCCTGAATAATGGTCAACTGTCGTTTCAACTGTCCCTGTCAAAATTACCTTCTTTTCTAGTCTGAGCGTTCCTTTCGTTATACGATGTTTCCTTTTACGAGTACTGTATACATTTTCAAGAGTCTGAACAGTATAAATGAGTTAACACACTTCTGCTCCTAATAGACAAAAAAAGATGATACCATACATCTATCAATGGCTGCATTTAGCAAGCGATGGGAGAGGTAATGTAGTTTGAGTATTTGTATGTTTTGTCCCCTCTGGCTTTGTATCTCATCTCTCATCAATAGTTACAATTCAAACAGTTATCTCTCTCTCTCTCTCTCTTTCTACTTCTCTTTCTGGATATATTCTCTCTGGATATATTCTCTCTTCGTTACATTAATGAACATTATCTCTCTCCCTCTCTCGATCACTCTCAGTCATTCTCTCTCACTATGGAGACAGCAGTCAATAGGCCCTGTACAGTCCACAATCTGGCTAATTTGTATTTCATTTTTCTCTCCAATAACATAATTTGGGAATCTTGCAGCATCTACATGTAGGCCCATGGATAGATCATGTAATTAAGATACTCAGGCAGATTCTGGACTGGGTCCTTTACTGTAAGTGCTATAATTAGGCTACACCCAAGGCCCTGTGAAACTGTCAAACCTCAACCCCCGGAACATATAAAGAAGCCTTCACCGAAATCCTATCACTGACCACACCAAGGATAGAAAGGAGGGCGGTGAGATTGAACTAGACGAAAAACCAATACCAACATTTTGTTTTGCCCTTTTTTTTTTTTGATAACAGGAGTAGAAGGTTGTTGGATGACGGATCTGTACAATCGTTTTGGGTTTGAATCCTTCCTCTTGTGTCAATAGAGATGAACTAGACAGGTGAAATAACAGAATGGCTGTATCCTGTCGAAAATGGCATTAGGAAGAGCTGACATAGCTGAAAAATCACGGTGTCGTAGTTGCCGTTGGCAAATTAAACAACAAAAGCAACCAAAAGGGCTCATGAGACCTATCAGAATATTCATAAATAATCCTAAATAGCTATTGAACAAAAAAGTGCTCATTATGGATATTCCATACATGAATCAAACAACAGTTAAGTAATGTAAATTTAAAATGTTTTTGATATTTTTCTACATACCGACAAACCTAGAAATACTCATATTCCTTCATATCTGTATAATTTTGAATGGAGCAAAAAGGATTTCGAAATATCTGCATATTAATGCAGAAATAGCATTTAATAGGAAGAGCTTACTTCGATGAAAAATCATAGCACTCACTAAAATGTAAAAATTGCATAAAAATGTAAATAGAACAATATAAATTGTATTGTTCTTTTAAACCTTGTATACACCTATAAGAATAACCATGGCAATAACAAATAATCAACTGCCCCATGATTTCCCTCTTGAAAATGCACTATTTGGGTAGGCATTAACAATGTTGATAGCTTTTACATACTTTAAAAGTACAGGTAGGTTTAAAAAAGTTCAAGTAGGGTAACACAATTGTTTAACTTTATGAAACCTGAATAAACTTGATGATAGACGAAAGTATTTCTGATTTTTTTATTTTATTTGGGGAGGGGCGGGGGCATTTACTGAACTACACATCAAAACATTTGCTTCATCTACCACACAAAGTAAGCCCTACCCAAAGAAACATGGTAAATTAAAATGAAACACAAGCTATATCCCACAATAGACCCCTCCACCTACTCTAAAAGTATAACTGCCTTCTAGAAATCTATTTTGTCGGACAGTACTAACGTTATGTTGCTTTGTAGTTTCTATGATTTGTTTTCGTATTGAAATGAAAATAAATTTGTTACAATCTTGAAGAACAAAATATTAAGACAGGTGCGTGAAAATAAACGGACCTTGAACCTATAGGCCTAGGCCTACTCCAGATCTTAAAGGAAATCCTACTGATCATGGTCCAGTAGCTATATGAGGCATGCAATTTATCAATCTCCAATTCTACTTTTGAACTTTTAGTTGGGTATATTCAATAAATACACATTTTGAGTGTCCTACTGAAAAATCTTGTCAGTGTCTGTACAGTAAGCAAAACTTTAGAGTTTGCCTCAAAAATCAATTGAAGTTTGCACATTGTATTATGAATTTATGCATAAAATATAAAATACTAATACTTGAATGCGTTTTTTTCCTGTCTATTTTACAAATCAACATCAAGAAAGGGTCATTTTTATATTACTGATTCTCAACTAAAACACAATAATCCAAAGGTGGATGAGTGGGGGAAATGGATGGAGGGCTCTGTGCCCCTCCCCCTCACCCACACTTTTTTTTCCTGGCAATTAAAGGTAAAGACCAGTTCTGGTCATGCGAGTGCAT